CTTAACTTTGCATTTAAATTAGAGGCTATGAGGCAAAAAGAAAGGATTAAAATCCTTGTTTTTCCACATTTTTGTAACCAACTGTGAATCATTCTTGGCTTGTTTCAGCTTTTTTAAATAAAAAGCAAATACATCTTCTGGTTAAATCTGTTACATCTTCAACAGAGTGATCATCAACTATCCAACCAACAGGCCACAGTCTGTGAGAATGCATGTCTGAGGTGTTGTGTGCAGTACGGGAGCTCCACAGGGTACGATGCTCTCAACCTTTCTATTTACCTTCTACACCTCGGGCTTCACCTACAATACCAGCAGCTGTCACCTCCAGAAGTTGATTCGGCTATTGTTGGCTGTGTGTCTGAGGGGAATGACCTGGAGTACATTGACTTTGTGGTGATTGACTTCCAGAGAAACACTCCTCCTCACTCACCAGTAAACATACAGGTGCAGACATTGAGGTATGAATACCTTTAAGTACCTGGGAATTCACCTCAACAGCAAACTGAACTGGTCCAACAGATGAGAAGGGCCACCTCCACCTCCTGAGGAGGCTGAGGTCCTTCAGAGTTAATTCCCACCTGCTAAAATCCATTTATCACTCTGTTATTGGATGTTATTCACTCTGCTGTGTCTGTTGGGGTGCAGGCAGCACTGAACGAGACAGAAAGAGACTGAACAAGCTAGTTACCAAAGCTAGCTCGGTTCTGGGCTGCCGACTGGATTCTGTTGAGAACGAGTTTGAAAAGTAGATAGTGGTGAAGATGATCTCCATTTTGGAAGCCCACTGCATCCCACTGTGGAGGCCATGGAAAGCTCCTTTAGAGGCAGATTGAGGCATCCATTGTATAAAAGAGAACGCTACCATCGGTCATTCATTCCCTCTGCAGTAAGACTGTAAAACTCCTGAGTTTAACTGGTGCTGGCATTATCCTTTCACATGCTAACATCAGTGCTATAGTCAATACCTGTGCAATACCGGATGTACATTTGTTTACCTGTATCTTTTATGCTGTTCCTTCTAAGAAACTCAATTTTCTATCATCTATATTTACTCTGTTTTTATTTGTTTTTTGAGTGCTGAAGGTTACGATAATAGCCCAATGCCCTTGTGTATTTATTATTGTTTTGTGTAAGTGGACGTACTGCCTTAATGAGTGAATTTCCCCACTGTTAAATCATTAAAGTTTATTCTATTGTTTAAATCTGTTCTAGAGAAACATTACATGGCTTCTAGACATCGGAGGAAGAAAACAAGGAACCAAAACAACACTGACGCAAAAACAGAAGATGTAGGAAACACATTTTGTGAGAAGAAGATAAAAGATCAGACTCAATGTCTAAAGCAAAAAAGGCTTTATAAACCCAAATCAAAACAAATAGTTGAACTGAGTTTTGAATAGTAAATATGAACCAGATTGTGCGCTGACATCCTGTAGAGGAGTTTCTAATAACATCCATTCCTCACCGACTCTGAGCTCCTTGAAGCAGGACTTGATCCTGACAAGGAAATCACCTTCATCCGACCAGAGTCTCATTACAAAGGCTGGAGAGGGACGAACTGTTGTCTCAAGTGTTCACATACGACATGAACACGACAAGGTCATAGGTCACCGAGGATGAGATGATGTCACTGACAAATATCGGCGCGTTTGGCCAAAGTGATCCCACATTGTTACCCATGACCTACTGTAACGTTTCATGTGTTTTGGGGACAAACCCAGACACCCTAAACCCCGGCTGACTCACTCAGCACCAGGGTTTGTTTTAACTGCTTTTGTTTAAATGTGCTGCAAACATGTCTGCCTGTCATGTGAGATCTGACCAGGCGAGAGGTGGAAACGTGAACTTTCTGATTTGTTTTCCTGCGAGCGCTCTAGCATAACAAAAAGCAGCAGCACATAAAGTCACATTTCAAATTTAAAGTGCCTACAGTCGCCTTGATTTATTATCTTTTTCCTTTACAGAAACCGTTATTGTAGTCAAGAAAACAAGACCATAACGGAAATGATGTTTGTGTGTGTCTGTACGACAGAGTTGCATGTGATGGAAAAGGCTAGATGTCATTTAATGTGACGGCATCACGCCGTCAGTCTCAGCTGACAGCCTGACCACTAACCTAAAGACGCATTGTTCCCGTGATGCGAAGGTTTGTAAGATTTCATACGGTAAAGGTGAATAAACAACGCTATTTTCTTGAATTTTACACATTATTTTTTGCTTGCTGACTAAATACATCAAACATCACAGAAACATCCCGTTCCAAGTGTCTAAAGGCAATCACTCGTCAAATCCAGTGTATTTGATGCTTTTCTGTCATGAAGGCAAACTAGATAGACTCTGGGGAGGTGAACACTAAAAAATAATTGCAGATTATCAGATTAGGAACAATCAGTATCTCTGCATGCATCATAACAATTCTTTTATTTTGAAAGGCATGACTGAACAAAAATGTGGACTGGACTTGGCGCAACCATCAGTTCCATGTTAAAGCAACACTTTAACAGCGTTAAATAGAAGACATCAGAGATGTGATGAAGAGGAACAAACCTCTTCATCCTCACATCTCCTTAAACCTTCTCTGCAGCCCCACAGAGGAACGTTTTAATTAACCTTACAGTTAATCGGCCAAAAAAACAAACACCCTACCCTGCCAATCGATGACTCACTGCTGTTTCACAGATGGAAAGAAATACCGAGCTCTGTCGTTTCTAACGTACCTCACCTTCCTCGGCATCAGTCACCAGTGTTCCTCTACCTCACTCTGCAGCTCTCAGGATGACAATCTGATTATAGCTGATCCCAACTGACTGCACGGTTTTATCAGATTGAATGAAAAAGTTTGATAAAACAAATTACCAGACAAGGAAGAACTTAAATTGTAATTTTCTTTTTCTTTTTTTTTTTGAAGCAAACATCAAAGCTCAGCTGCCATCATCTCACAGACCCCAGACCCAGTTTAAGCATGTGTGGTAAATGATTCCCAGATACTAAAACCCTAACTAAACTAAAGCCAGTTTCATCGTAGCTAAGGTTAGCTCTAATGGAAGTTCAAAAATGGTCTCAGCCAAACCAGACAAGCTAAATATCCTTATCTTCTGAAAAGCGGCCATATCTAGAGACTAATAACTCACGGTGGAGGATGTAGGCAGACATCATTCCGGCACGTTAATCTGAAAGTGTCAGATTAAGAAATCAGCATGTTATCAGAGATAACACACAAGTACACACACTCTGATGCGTTGTTTAACAGCTGGAGTGCTTTCACATGATTCAGTGCTGACACACACACCCTACATGTTTGACAAGGGTTGTGTGTTGTTGCTCCGACCCACAGGCCCGTCTTGCCTTGTCAGTCAAGTTGAACAGAAAACAGTTCGCACACAGACTGTTTTACATAAATTGTCTCAGTGTTCTTGCATGAAGTAGGCTAAAGTTGGCTAATGCTGTAATTCTGGCAGAGGTAACCCAAAGTTTCACTGCCTTAAATGGTAAACAGAGACCAAGACGTGTGCTTTACTACAACATGGCTCTGATTAAAACCAGACTGGCCTGCCTGCTCTTGGTTCTCAGCCACAGCTAATTCCTGCAGAGGGACAGGACTGTTAACGCTGAGGCATGAGTGCATCTATGATGATCTACCCGCCTTTCAGACATTTACCTCATCAGAGATCCCCACTGGTGTGGATCAGCTATGTGTCAACAGAATTTTTTGTAAGGAACCCACAATTAACAAGCTCAATGACAATTCAGTTGGTTATCGTGTCATTTTTGTTACAGTAATACAAATCTGATTCAGTGCGCCACAAATGTTCAAACCTAAATCCATCTGCAGCTTTGCGCAGACCTTTTGGCTTTTAACATAATGTTGTGATATCCTAACTTACCTCCATTATTAGGTCGAATTTCCAGTTTCCTCTGTACTTGGTTATCTTTTTATCCAAATGACCTAGAAAACGCAAATCCTCTTGTGTTTAGTTGCTAAGGTTAGTGTGCACCTCTTTAATTGCAAACCTTAGTGAGCTCAGTGCATCCTAAATCATCAGCACATTAGAAGCTTTTAGCTCTGTGCTTTAATGCATCTTCATCCTCTTTAGTGAGCAGTAGTTTAAACTGTAATTTGTACTTAGAATAAAATGATTATAATTTGAATGTAGCAAGATAAATGACAGGTGTTCATCTGGGAAGTTAGCAAACCAAGGTGCACAAACTTCATGTATCTCCTGTCTCTTCAGAAAAAAGCTGAAAACAATAAAACATGCTGATGGAATTGAAAAGTAATCTGGCAGGACAGCTTTAATTTGCAGGGGAAAAAAGTTTTAATCTTGAGAGGTGGGAAATAATGGAAGTAGGTTGAGTTTCAGTATCAGCAGGGGCCATACTCAACAGTTGATGCTTCTCATTTAGTTTTTTGCTTTATTTGAAGAAGAAAAAATACATTTTTGTCGTAAACATGTGATGCAGAACTAATAGATGGCTTTCTAGAAAAATGCTAGTACATTTATTGATTTTTCATTAAAATAGCTTGAAGAGATTATTTATTTTGTGATTAATCATTTAATAGATTTTAGTTTTACATTTGTAAGATTAAAACACCCTTTATGACTGCATTACAAATTGTTTAAGAGGGATACAGAAAACAACATACAGCTATTTGCTAAAAAATATGGAAATTAATTCTCTAATGATTAGGAAAAGGTGTCACATGTTAAATTATTTTAATACATAAAATAATTGAATTGTTTATGACCTTTAAAACAAATAACAGAATGATGAAGGTCACACCAAAAACCAGCTTGAACAAGTGTAGAGACCATGGTTCTGAAAGATCAATTATACAAAATAAATACATTTTCTTCAATTGATCGTTTAACAAGGAAATAAATAAAATACATTTTATTTTGTTTCTTTGGCAGAGCTACAAATCCTTCCAGCAGGTGGCGGTAATGCATGAAAACGCTCCCGTGAAGCCAACAAAGATTTGTCCACTAGGTGGCGGTGTTGCATCAAAACGTTGGTTTATAATAAACGAAGAAGAACTGAGAAGCATGGACGCTCGCTCTTGCTACTGACCTTCCAAATTTCATACTTTAAATTTATTTCAGGTAAATTTAGTCAAGCTTTCTACATTTTAGATAACTTTGATCAATATCAGAGCTTGTTTGATCAGCTATTTTGTTATTGCTACGTTACAGCGAATGTTAGCCGCCACAGCTGCTATTTGATAACCGATAGCTCAAGTGTTGTTCTCGTTATCCAGAACTAATGTTGTTTTAAAAAAAATTGTTTAAGGTGTTTAAACAGATTTATGTTTGGTTATATATTACTAATTGAAAGTGTCAAAGTGCTCGTTCCTATTTTTATATGTTAAATCTGCTCAGAGATACTTTTCTTCTCCTCTAGCGTTCACCAAAGCTGCAGAATGTCAGTCAAAGGTGCATCAGTCCATGCTAAATGGGTCCTCGGTAGAGTCATCGGAACCAAAATGCTCAAAACCGCTAAAGTGAGAGTTACCAGACTAGTGCTGGACCCTTACTTGCTCAAGGTAAATCATTCGTCTGCAGATTTTATTTGTGTTATAAACAAACAAGTGGCGTGGAAATAGAAACAAATAGCCTTGTTCTGCCAGAAACGTTTATAGTCTTAAATAATATAAATATTTTGCCAGTAGGAAAACACCTGGAGCTGCTGGATCTTTCAACTACCAGCTGACACATTCCTATTATGTCTTATCCTGTAGTTTTCAGAATCTAATGTTTTTCTTGAAGAAATAAAAGTAACACATTTGCAGCTTCACAAATAGCTAATGGTCCCCCCCCCCCCAATTTAAAACTATATCTCAACATAGCTACTTGTTTGGCTGTATTGAAACGGTCCCATTTGGAATCTGTTATTCACGCGTTTATCACCTCCCACTTGGACTAGACTACGGGAACTCCTTCCTCATTGGCACCCCTGTTACTGCCCTGAACAGGCTGGAGTTGCTGCAAAATGCTGCTGCAAGGTTTTTAACAAGCACAAATAGATGTAGCCATATCACCCCTGTTCTGGCACATCTCTAATGGTTGCCTATGACTTTGTTTAGTTTATTTCAAACAAAGAAAACATACATAATAAAAAAAACACACACACACAAACAGAAAAAATACATATCATCCCTTTTTTTCTTCTTCTCAGAGTGTGATTTCAGATTTTGCTCTTTGTTTTTAAAACATTGAACAGTCTTGCACCATCCTATCTGTCTGACTTGCTCACGCCCTATTTGATGGTGCTCTCACTGAGATCAGCAGACTGCTTGCCACTCTGCACTCCAGCATTGAACTATAAAGCAAGGGGGAGCAGGCTTTTGTGTATGCTGCCGTTCTCTGGAATGCACTACCCATTGCAATTCAACAGTCATCATCTTATGGCTGTCTTCAAGTCACGATTGAAGACCTGCTTCACTGCTTTGGCTTTTGGACAATGACTTTTTTATGTTTGTCTTTTCCCTTTTATATTGCTTTTAGGTTGTTTTTATCTGTATTGACTGTTTTTAACTGATTTAAATTATTTTATGATTGTTCTTTGTGCAGTGTTTGGTCAGCTTGCATGCTGTGTTTAAAAATGCAGTATATAAATAAAATGCTATGGTATGTTGCATTATAATACATATCTAATTTATCAACATATTTATTTTGTTCTCTCTGTAGTACTACAACAAAAGAAAGACCTACTTTGCCCATGATGCTTTGCAACAATGCACTGTGGGAGATATTGTCCTCCTCAAAGCTCTGCCTGAGCCCAGATCCAAACACGTCAAGCATGAACTGTCTGAGATAGTGTATAAGGTGGGTCGGGTGGTGGATCCACTGACAGGAAAGAAGGTTGCAGGGACTGAGTTTCTGGAGCCTTTGTCTGATCATCTGCTTGAAGAGGGAACCACACTGTCAGAAAAACTGCAGGAGCTGAACATCTCAGCTGTCACCAGTGAAGGGGAATCATCGTTGGCACAAACTCCAACTTAATTATATATATATATATATATATATATATATATATATATATATATATATATATATATATATATATATATATATATATATATATATGCACACACATTTGTCATAAGTGTAATGCTTTTGTTTCATAAAAATATTAATAAAAAAATAAATATATAATTGTATTAAGCCTGTATGTGTATGGGAGGTTGAGTTAAAATGTAATATATATGCAACCTATTTTGGTAATTTGATTTTTGAGACAATTCTAAGTAATTTGCAGTAATAAATCTTTGTTGAAAATTGCCATTCACAAAACATACAATGCATTGTTTATTGACTAAAAAAATAAAGATAATACAAAGTCAGCTGTAAAGTTTTGCAGATTCAAAAAGACTTGGGATGGCTGATTAAAGATGCATTTTGCAGTCACTTTTTTTAAACAATTAGGAATTCGTTTTATTTTCGTTTGAAGAGATAATTTAGGGTGACATCTGAGTCAATGTTTCTAATGTCAATAAAAATTTTAAAAAAGGAGATAACGTGGTTTAAAACATAAATACCCTCAAGAATTTAAAAAACATCAAGGCAGAGACCCACTGAACCACAACTGAGAGCTAAATACCGTAAATACTAACCACGTGACACCGTATGAGATGAACTACCATCGTTATTGCACAAGCTGCTCTGTGGTCAGCCCTAGCGTCATTAAATTCACCGGTGTTTTCGTGTCAGCTGCTCTGTGACCTGCCAAGCACCAACCCTTCGCTGCTTTCAAGGGAAAAACATGGCGAGCCGAGTCCTTCAAACAGTGGCGAGAGGCCTTCACAGGACGAAAACCGGACTCCACGCGAGCCGACCGGCCACTGTTACTGTCAGGTTAGAGTTTTAACAATTAATATCAGTCCCCACTGGAGGGCAAAAGGAGCCTAAAGTGCTAAGAGTTTTGTTGTAATGACAAATTTTGTGATGCTATTTGGCTAAGCGTTCTGGCTAACGTGTTGACGTCGGCACGTTGTGACCAACTATTAAGCATTACCCTAATAGCTCATCACCTGCTAACTTTAAGCTAAACGAAATAAAGTTGGAAAAACTACATAGCTTAGCTGTTATATCTGATTAGCTTACATCGCGATTTTTATATAGACAATTTTGGTTGACTCAAAATTAAATTAGGGCACAGTTTGTCTCAAACTGATTAATCTTCAAGGTCATAACAGTTGCTGCTGCACATCAGAAGTTGTTTTGATTAGTGAAATGGTTACTCTTAAAAGCAAAGGTGTTTGTTTAACAGTTCAGAAAAAAATATTTAAGAAGTTTGAATTCACAAAGAAGAGACGCGACTTCATAGCTTTATTAAAGAGTAACATTAGTAACATTACTCTTAAAGTAATTTTTTTTCATATTATACATGGTTTAATTTACCAGAAAATGTATTTATGTGCATTTTAAAGACAGGATAAGGATAAATTCAGTGTTGAACAGATCAAAACACATTTTTTAGGATTGCAGTTATCAGTGAAGATGCTTATATTCTAGCACCATGTTACTTTGTGAAATCCTAAAATTGATCAAAAGTAAATTCATTCACTAACTATGATACATTGTTCATTAAATTACAATTTTTAAATGTCAAAATTGTCTGTGACCTTTTGAAAAGGACTGTAAATGCTACCTTACTTTGTGTAACTTAATAGTTTTCAGACTAATAACAGATAATAACACATCCAGACTGGAGGGCATAAAATAAAAATGAATTGCATGAAAGTGAAGTAATGTAGCACTATTATGGTTCTAAGGCCGTTCACTACTTTAAAAAGGACTTTTAAATCATTGCAGCACTGTGTAGAAGAAGAAATTCTGTTTTTTTCCAACTTCTTTTTTAACATTTCTCCACAGGAGCCTCTCGGGGCTCAAATCACTTTTTGTTAGAAAAGTTGATCCGAGAAAAGACGCTCACTCTCATCTGCTCGCCAAGAAAGAGGACAACAATCTGTACAAAATACAGTGTATGTAATGTTTGAGTTGCTGCAGTTCAGAAGAAAATCCAACCTTTCGTCAGTAATTCTATAAAAGCTTTTAAATGTTTTATTTTTATTTTTTTTTCACAGTTCATAATGTTAAACCAGAGTGCCTTGATGCTTACAACCAACTTTGGTGAGAAACAAAATATTGCTCAGATGCATTGACAAGGTTTACTGCAGTGCAGATAATTAGCATTTTTGTTACACATTTGTTTTTGTTTGTCCCCAGTGAATCGGTGTTGCCCTCCATTCATACCAATCCTGACTATCCCTGTGAGCTCGTGGGCACCTGGAACACCTGGTATGGAGAGCAGGACCAGGCAGGTAAGAAGTTCAGTCTTGTAAGAAAGAGGAAATTAATGTTTAAAAAGGTTTTCAACTTAATTAGCAGCAATGGAATTCAGTATTTTTTTTACTATAAATTGTTTAAAGAGATCCTTCACTGAGAAACCATTTTTTACTCATTTTTGAAAATGATCGGTCACTCTGAGTTTAACATGCAGGCTGAACAGGAAAAATGTGCCCTGCACTAGTTCCTGCATTAGCCTCTGATAGAAATAGATGGTGAAACTCTAGGATTTGAAAAGCCTGTCCACTCTGCATCAAGCTGTTGCTTTCACTCACTCATATAGGCTCGCTACGTCTCAATTAGCAGAAGCTAACTGTTAGAATTAGCAACTCCACCACACAGCAGAACTCCCTCAGGCTTGAGTTATTTGTGGAGATAAAACATTAATGTTGCAAAACAAGTCAGATGTAGAGTCTCGTTGCTGTTATCCAATCCAGGATTAGATGTCCAAATACCAGGAAATAAGACTCCAAACTCCGCAGTCTGAAGCTACTTTCTCCTCCAACTGAATTCTCTGTGCTGAAACCGACACACCAGAGCTTTTTCCCCGGGTATGACTTACAAGGCATTCCTTCCTACGAGAGACCACTGCAAATGTATTAAAAATATGAGTGATGGAATTTTTTAAGGTTTTATTGACAGATGTTAAAATCAAAAGGAAGCCCAAATAATAATTTGTTAAATCAAAATTGCTGGACTAGTTATCATTCTCCAATTTATATTAAGCACGAATAAACTACTCAAAAACGAGCAAATGAAAATGTATTGTACTTTGCATCATTTTTACTTTATTTTAAATGATTTATACATTAGACATGTATGAAAATGAGAGTTCTTTTTAATGAAATGTTTAATATTTCAAAGACTTCTGGTTGAAATGGGAAAACCACAACTTTTAAGGCAGACTGTACTTTTGACTTTTATTTTTCTGTACAGGTTCTTTGTTTTCAGGCTGTATTCTTAAAGGTGAACTGTTTTATGTCTGGCACATTAGTTTTCTTTCTGTACACTCTGATGGCTTCACATGAACCCTAACAAAGGCTCTTCTGCATGACGGAACAATTTAGATGCTCCTTTCACTAAAAGTGCAAAAAGCCCTGGGTGACTTTCCTATTTTCTAAATGAATATTTTTAGATGTCTAGAGAATTAAAACCAGATTTTGTTGTGAAGGAATACCTGGCCCAAAGGAAAGCAAGTTCTATTCAAGAGCTGCATTATTTCTGGCTCTTCTGCTCCTTCTATTCTAGTTCACCTATGGAGATATCGGGGAGGATACCCGGCTCTCACCGAAGTCATGAACAAACTCAGGCAGAATAAGGTAACAGGGGCTCGGATTAGTTCAGCTCTCCGGCGGCTGCTGACCTTTAGGCCAGCGTTTCTAGAAGTGCAGCCCTTTAATTAGACCCACAGACCAGTTTTGGGATTTCTGTTTTTATCTGTGGTTTTCCTGTTGTCTGGTGTGACTTTTCTCTGTAGTGTGCCATCATTTTTAAAACCTTTTTACAGAATTGTAGTTGTATCCTGTGGCTTTGGTAAGTATAGTAGTAGGAATAGTTTTGTTGAATTATAAATAGGGGTGGGAATTAAATGCATTCACAACTTGAAAAATTACTCCTTGAGCCAAAGCTTCCCCAATTGGGGGCTGAAAAAGTTTGGTATCAAAATAAATCCCCAATAATTAATATCATCAAGCCGCACCTCTAAAAACACTACAGAGCTCAGTCTACAAGGTCATATAAATCTTTTTTACATGCTTCAAACGCAACTAAACCCACAACTCAATAAATCATGACAAAATGCACTTAATGAAGAACAGAAGAAAAAAAAATTTACAGTTGGGTTTTTTTTTTTTTTAGTTTGTAGAAAGCAGGCAGGCAGTAACTTTATCCATATAACTGTATTACAGCAGGAGGGACAAGCGCACACACACACACACACAGTATTTGTGTTGTAACCATCAGCAGAACTTCCCCTGAACTCTACACTACACCTCTACAGTAAATATGTTGGCAGAGCTCTGCTGCCACCTAGTGTTCAGTTCAGTGCACAACATTTACAATGTTCCATGTCCATTTACATTTCATCAGTAACACATGTTAATTTTACACGTGCCAATTATTTTTAATAAAGGCAAAATTGCTTCTGGGCAAATTGTCTTAAACGATTAAAATGTGATTAATCAAGATTAATTATTACAAAGCCTCAGATTAATTAGATAATATTTATTTTAATCGAGTCCCACCCCTAATCACAAATGGTAAAAATAGGAGGTATGTGCAAAACATTTTTTTATGTTTTGTTTTTAACTTTAAAAACAACAAATGTTTGACTTATTACTAAAAGTTTAGATGAAAATATATATGTAAAATAAGTCCTCACCTTTCCTACTTTCACACATTACATAATCCAAGGGGAATATTTGTTTTTTACAACTGGTTGCCAGTGTTCCAGCACAGCTTTCTCATGTACAGGTACTCAGTCTGTTCTGTTAGAACAATTTTTTTAAATGGCGTTAGACATTTTAATTTACCCTGAACTGTAGGAAAATAATATATGTTATTTATTGCTGTTTTAATCCCACTGATCAGATTTATGATTTGAGCTAATGAGAATCCAGATTTACTCTGTGATGCATTTTTGTTTCTGCTGTAGGAGTTCATGGATTACCGAACAGAGAGGGGGAAGATGCTGTTGTCTCGTAGGAACCAGCTGCTCCTGGAATTCAGCTTCTGGAATGAACCTGTCCCGCGATCAGGACCCAACATCTACGAACTTCGGTCCTACCAGCTCAGGGTGACAACCTCTTTGGAAATCATCCTCATGTTTCACCCTACCTAAACACTAGTTTTACATTTTGAATCACTTCTCTGCTATCTTTATATCTTAATTTCAGCCAGGAACAATGATTGAGTGGGGAAACTACTGGTAAGAAGCTTATTTTGATCTATTTATTGTAGTAAATAACTGTAGAATCACTTAAGCCTCCATTCCACCGGATGTGAAAGTGGTATTAAGGTAATAGTGGCGTTTTACCCACCAGCTCCTTTCCAACCAGCAGTGTTTCAGACGCAAAATGGGAGTGAAATCGTTCCACACTGCTGGTCCCACAAAGACACAACCATGGTAGAATTGCATCACCACATGTGATTTCAGAAGTCCACACATTAACAAGAAAGGAGAAAGGCAGCTGCATGTATCCCAGATGGTCTGTGGTATATTTTCTGTTTTGTTTCGACCATGGTGGTTTCACAGGAAATAACGTAAGTTTATCTAAGACTTTTAGTTGGAACATTTCTGGATGTTTTCCACTGCTTTCGTGATTGACTTCCTGTCTGGCCCGATGTAAACTGCAGAGTTTGGCGTATTTTGGAAGCGTAGCTCGTAAAAAGTAGACTCAATATTGCAGGGCTGCCAACTCTCATGCACTGAGCGTGAGACACACACATTTGACCCTCTTCACGCGCTCTCACGCCACACTTCCTATGTCTCACGCTAAACCAGCGCCTGCACTCCCAAAATGCGCATCACACACAGTGTGTAGGGTTTATGAAAAAAAAAAAAGATTATATTTATTATAGCATTAGCTACTGAACAACATGCACACAAACAGCACTTAAGTAATAATTTAACTGGCGTTATTTCACACACAGAATCCCATCTGTATAATCCAAGCCAATGTGCTTTTTCCCACTATGGTTGTGAGATGAGCGGAGCGATGAGCTCCACCTGCTGTTGATGGGACGGGCGTACCCGGTTCTTTCTCCCAGAACCGTGAGCTGCGGCTGCGCTTGCCGCCAAAATGACATGCTTTATTTAGAAATGCAGTCGCGTCACCAGCCGGTGTTGGCGGAGCTTCAGTCCCGAATGTTTTTCTTTTGTTTTCACTCATCAGCCACAGATCGCTCGCTCACAGCAAGCTGGTCTTTCTACCGTGGTGACTCACTCACATGTCCTCTTTCCTGTTAGTTGGTAATGCGTGAATTAAAACATTAGGAATCCTAATGTTCACCCTACCTAAACACTAATCCTAATGTTTTAATCAGGGCTTAATTAGGGCTTAAGATTCAAATACAGGTGAGCTAAAGGGAGCTCCTGGAAGCCCTCAACTTACACACCCAGGGGGAGCCCAAAAATGATCCTGGTTCTACTTATATTACATTATCTATGTGGACTCTCCAGGGATTATTTTGAGCTGAGAGGCACAGAGCTCAGATCGTTGATGCGCTCCAGACAGATGCTTCCTGATCACGGCCACAGTAACATTAGCAAAGTGTCGCCACCTCAAAAACAAAGTTAACACGTGATCGTTCATGCCGGCTCATATTCTTTTATGCTTTCTGTCATTTATTTATTCCTGAGGCATTTTGCTGCTGCGGAGCAGAGCGCATCACCTGTTTCGTCCTCCAGTGACTTCACTGCACTCTGCTATATTTGCGGTCGGTAGATCTTTCTGAACTGCAGTACAAAGGTAACTCATGAGGTGAAAATATATGAAGCCAGGTAGCAGATTTTCTTTAGGATTGAGAGGAGATGCTGGAAAATAATAGATAGTCAAATAAAAAGTTGGTTTTTGTACCTGGTGGTTGCAACGAACAGACACCATTGAAGGTAATCAGAAGTGAGGAACAGAAAATGAAATAATTCTTTCAATGTTTAGATCAGCAGGAACTCTGAGAGGCTGCAGGAGCACCAGTGAGTTTTCGGCCGCTGCGCAGGGGGAGGGGGGAGATGTAAAAACTACCATTGTTAAAGGAAATGTGTGTTAACTTAGAAAATGTGGGCGCAAGTTTAATGACTTGTCTTGAGAAAAGAAAGTAAGAATTCTTTCTTTTTTTTTCTTTTCTTGTCAGTGGCTCTAATCCTCTTCCGTATAGATTAGAAATAAATAAATCAAATGTAGAGCACTAAAAGTCTCAGTATTCATACACTTAATACCACCCCCCCCACCCCGGCTAACGGTCGGCGAATTGTCCGCTCCCAACCCCATGACCCCGTCTCATTCTTTGAAATGTTCAATAGTTGGCTGTCCTGATATTGTCCCTTCACTTCTGTAATGTGTCCAAAATGTAACGCTCTGCTGTCGGTGGAAAAGAACCCGTCCACTATAACGGTGGCTAATTGCTGCATAGTTTGTTTAGCAGCTGTTTTGTAACACTTTCACATCCGGTTAAAAGGAGAATTAAGGCTACACCGCCTATCTAAACCAGCTGGTGCTGCTTTTTGATGTTGACATCATACCCTTTGTAGTTATGTTATTTGAATTTTATCTAATACAAAATTAAACATTGATCAGTCTTTTCTTAAGATTAGACAAACAAATCTGTCCAAAGTTGCAATATTTTGTTTATTTTTAATGCTGGAAAAAGACGATAACCTTTTTAAACATCCTTACTGCTCTTTTATCAGATTTTACAGATTCTTGCAGATAAGTGAGTCAACAGTCCTTCTGGCTTTACAGATGACTAAACACAATCCGATTTGTTGCCCAAATTGTGACATTTTCAAGCGTGATTTTTTTCTGATTTCTTCATTTGTGACTGAGATATCTGCTTTTTACAATATTTGTGGTAATGAAACCAAAAATGCTGGAAGGATCTTTCAAGAAAACTGACAATTAACTTGTGAATGTCTAATTTCAGCATTAAAATTTTTACAAGTTCAATTATTTTAAATTATTAATTTATTTGATGTACTTCGATGCTCCTCAGGGCTCGAGCAATTGAGATCCGTCAGCAGAACCAAGAGGCAGTGGGAGGTTTCTTCTCACAGATTGGAAGTTTGTACCAAGTTCACCATTTATGGGGTAAGCAGAGGTATTTTTTTCTTCTTTTTCTTTTAGTTAGTTATTTTTAGAATAACAGAAAAAATGAGTCACTTTGTTGCAATTATAAAAATGCTGTGGGGTTTGATTTTTTGATTCACTTATTTTTTTTTATTTGTTTGATTTGCAAATTTGGAAAATTTAAATACTTTATAAAGACAAGTACTAAAATCATAAAATTAGATCGCCTTTCAGCGCTTTAATCTGGAAGATTGTTGGTGATCAGACGTTTGATGTTCAGGTAAAAATAACTTGTGTTTTTTTCTACCAGCTTACAAAGATCTTGAGTCCAGAGAAACCATCAGAAATGCAGCGTGGCACCGTGATGGTTGGGATGAAGTTGTTTATTACACTGGTGAGCTTACATTTGCTGTTTTAACCTTCTCTCTCAAGATCATACAGGAAAAACATATATATTCAAATGTTTTTTTAAGTTTTTATTTTTTGACATGTTGCAGATTTTTGCCTTATTTAATCTAATCTAAAGAAAATCATGAATTAAACCCATTATTTAAACACAGATTAAACCAAGTGGACAATTATTAACTGTAAATTAATTTAAGTATGCTTGATTTTATTGTCGTAATATTTATCACCTGATAAAAATCACATTTTTTTAATTATTATTTAACCGTTTTAGATCCGGTGACCGCTCCAGTACAAAAAATATGAACTCAGTGTTGCTGCTTTAATAATCAGATGCACCCTAGCACAGATGTTAAAAATGCTAAAACTTTTACTTTCTTTTTTTCTTTAATCCCACAGTCCCGCTTATTCAGCACATGGAATCCAGAATAATGATTCCCATGAAGACGTCACCCATGAAGTAATGACGGTGACATTTCTGAGCAACCACTGCTACAACCTCCCTGCTCAGTGTGTAACAACCTTCAGAATATGCACTGCCAGGATTATTCAGCAAAACCTGAATGTTCTTTCTTTTTTTTCTTCTTCTTTGATCTGTTTTGTTACTCCTTAAAGATTAGGTCAAAACGATTATCCCAAAGTGAACCTGTTACGGATCTGTTAGTGTGTGTGTGTGTGTGGGGGGGGGGGCTTCAGATTATTGCATTTTTCAAGAGAATTTTGTTTTTGTTTTCATTTATTTTTCTTAAAAAAAAGGCCTTGTTTACAAAGCTCCCATCCACCGATCTGAGGAGGAGATGTAGCTGGGATAAGTTTCAGAACCATTTGTCTGCCTCGTGGGATTAATGAAATTATCTGAAGATTCTTACACGATGAAGTTCAAGTACAGTTTGAAAAGACTTTCCAACTGGACACATAAATAACGTTCATTTTTACAACTTGTTTTCTCCTTTAAAAGACTCCTTGGTTTTGTTTTGTTTTTTAGTTTTAATGATACTTCTGGATCCGGTAGCTATGGTGTTGAGGATTAAGGTGGTTAAAATGATTATAAACAATTAACTGCGGAATAAACTACTGTGCATTAACAGATTTGACATGTTGGTTAATATCAGCTGGGTAACTGTCCTTTCACTGAGGTTACAATTGTGTTTTTTATTAATAAAGGTTAGAATGTTGGTAAAACGTTGACATATTAGACTAGCTGGAGAAATGATCAGTCCTGCGTCTGTAATTGAACAGGTTCTTAAGTTGCTGACAAACAATGGATGGGAGAAATTGCGTAACTGTGTGACAAAATGCAGTGCTGTAGGAACTTTAGTTGTACATATTAAATTAAGTTTCTGATAGAGAGAAATTGTTTTTATGTTTTGTGTGTGCCTGTTTATTATTACATATAAAAAGAGGACACAACCCCAGAAGCGGACTGTACGTAACTGACGCTCGGAGTTGACGTAAAAGTACGGTAGCTCGTAAGGTGTGACTTATGGTGCATTGATAGAATGTAGGAAATCTCAGCATGACAATGGGAACTTGATTTTCCGTGTGTGTGCAGTGCATTTACCTTCGATAGTGTCTAAAACGCAATACACAGAGAGAGAAAAAACAATCGTGTTTGAGCAACAATAAAAATATATTTCATACATTAAGTACCTTTGTTGTGGTAAGTGCCTTTTGTTTAGCTTTAATCAGTTCAGCAAAAACTACGTTGCAAAGCCTGGATTTACGAGTGTCGCCTGTTCACGTGAAAGCAGCACGACAACACGTGTTGGAGCCTTCTGGAAGCACACTCGCTCTTAGAGTCGTCCGAGCTTGAGCAGTGTTACCTTTGCCGGCTACACTTTTTAACTTTACTTCGCTGGTTGTGCCGCTTAGCTATGACTGCTGTAAAAGCACTGAACCCTAAAGCGGAGGTGGCCAGAGCGCAGGCTGCCCTAGCAGTAAACATCAGTGCTGCCCGGGGGCTTCAGGACGTGCTGAGAAGCAATTTGGGGCCGAAGGGGACCATGAAAATGTGAGCACCACCGGAGTTCTTTGTGCAGCACGCGCTCAATGCTAACGCATCACTACGTAGCAAAGTTAGCAGATTTTTTCTGGTAAAGTGCTTGCGAATATTTCCGTTTGTTTTGATAAGACTGTTTCAAAGCTTCCCGTGTCTTAAAAACGCTGAAATAGGTAGTTTGCCAAGGCCATAGCTTCAATTGGAAAACGGGCTTCTCGTTGCCCTGCCCAGTCATCGTCATTATCTGTTCAGATACCGCTATGCTAACGTTAGCGTCCTAGCGTTAGCCGGTTAGCAGATTAGTTTGAAGCCGGAGGTGATCTGAAACTTACTAAGTTGATGGCACGCTAACCCAAATCAGTTTATCGCGGTTGATAATTACATTTTAATAAGTCGTTTTTCTAGAAATCGGTTCTATTTAAACATAACTTCTAACACAAAAAGAGTACACGCCCTTTTGGTTTGTGGCCAAGATTATCTGATATTGCAACTATTACTCTGCTTTGTGAACCATCAGGTTGGTGTCTGGTGCAGGAGATATAAAGCTGACCAAAGATGGCAACGTTTTGTTACATGAGATGGTAAGGAGGTGTCAATATGGGAAATGACTTACAATGCAAATAAGAGATTGTACTTATCTGTTATTTAGCTGATGGTTTCAAACATTTTATTGCACGATCACCACTCTGAGATATAATTTGCAAAAATAAAAAGCGTTGCTACCAAATATTTATCTATAAAGCAAACTTGTTACTAGTTAAATTATAATGTATTAAGCACTCGGATGTGAGATAGGTCCTAATTGGTCATAATTGTGCACAGTGAACACCCAAGGATGCTAATGTGGCTCTCCCTGGTCTCTTGTATCTGTGCCACAGTAACTCTGATCTGTACCTCTGCATTAGGAGAGCCTGATCCTCCCCTACATGTATTCAACAGATCTGAATAATGTTTATACAAATAATGAAAGTTCACATATGGATAAAAAAGTTTTTAATCAAACACTCCAGATGAGACCAAAGACCAGTCATTTTGACAAGTAATCAATTTGATATGCCTGTATTAGCCAATATATTTAAAAAAAAAATCAAGTTTTCACTGACTCCTTGACTAATTATGAATAGGTCTTGAATTAAATTCAAGTTAATTTATATCGCGCCAAATCGCGACAAGTCATCTCAAGGCAATTTACACAGTAAACATTTCAATACAATTAAGTTCAGTTCATTGTTGCTTAACTACTTATTAGTTGCTGTTTTTCTATCGAGTTAATTTTCATTTTTTTTAGCAAATTCAACACCCAACAGCATCACTTATTGCCAAAGTTGCAACAGCACAGGATGACATCACAGGAGATGGAACCACCTCCAACGTCCTCATCATCGGTGAACTGTTGAAGCAGGCTGACCTCTATGTGTCGGAGGTAAGAGTATGAAGTTGGTCGTGTGCAGCTCTGTTTGTGAGATCCTTTAGTCAATTTGGTGAAGTGTTTTTGAAATAACTAAAGAGCTTTTTGGGTTATGTTTGTTTTTTTATCTGCAGGGCCTTCACCCAAGAATAATTGCAGAGGGCTTTGAGGCAGCAAAAGAGAAAGCGTTGGCCGTTCTTGAGGAGGTGAAGGTCACCAGGGAAATGGACAGAGAGACGCTCATAAATGTTGCTCGCACTTCCCTCAGAACCAAGGTCCACACCGAGCTGGCAGATCTGCTCACTGAGGTGAGATGAGATGCATAATTGTGTTGAGAACAATATCCATTAATATTAGGTGTTTTGTTTTTTAGTGTAATATTTTTATTGTTTAAAAGACTTAACTTAATTGTACTAAAACAAATAACTAATTATCCTTTAACTCATTCACTGCCAGCTGTTTCATGATAAGAAAAGCCCTTAGCTGCCAGCGCTTTCATTTTTAAAATTTTTATTTTTATTTTTAAGTCGCAAAACGTTGCACTCTAGAATGATGCCAATGCCAAAACTACCCAAACAAATAGACTCGCCTCTTACATCAGGAAGAATCTGCCTTTTTCGAGCGTTATCCATTCTTTCATAATCCGTTGTTGAATTGTGATCGGCAGAAGCTTTTCCGGTTCTCGCCTCACCTTTTTTTGTACAGCAGCGATCCAAAATGATCTCCTAACACATGGAAGAAGAAAATATAATTTCTATAGCGCCTCTCAAGATAAAAATCACGAGGCGCTTCACAAAAACAAAAAAATATAAAAAAGAATTTAGAAAATAGTTGAAAATATGCTTAAAATGAGCAAAAAATAGAGAATTGTGATTAAAAAACAAAATGTTAAAGAGAGTGAGTAGGAAAGAGGGAAATCAGTGGATCCTGAGGAAGGTGGACTAGGTGGGGAGAGCAGAATAAAGAGAGTGGTGGAGAAGGTCATACAAAAGCCTAGCCCAGTGAACTAGACCAAATTCTTGCTTTGCATCCAGATCATGTGACGTATGCGGATGAAGATCAGCTTTAGAGCTGGGATGTTTGTTCCCACGGTGCGGGGGCTCGTTCCGACGCCCACACAGTAAAAAAAAATGCAAATTACTACTTAAGTCATCATTTGCAATTAATGAGTTAATGACATCTTATTGGCCTTGGTAGTTGGCAAGTACTCAAACTACCTCAGTTTTAGGCATCTGTAAATTGCATTTATAAATCCTACACCTGCTGTTAATTTTCATAAAGAGGATGTTCAAACAGCAGGATATTCAGTTCTTCCTCAGCTGCTTTCACACTTCTTTATGTTCTTATGCAGAGCACAATGTCTCTGCAGCATTTTAATTAGTTTGATTGCTTTGCATAGAATTTGTTGGTTTCACTTCACTGTGAAGTAAACATTTTTATTGCTTTGCTCCAGTAAATATGGTGGTATTGTAGCATTTCTGCTTTAGAGCTGGTACTGTGATGTAGAACAGTGTTTGACTCCTGAAAACACTTTAGTGGGAATGGGTGATGTCTCTTGGTTGGGTTGAATCTCAAATTTTGAGCTTACCTACTAATAAACAGCGCTGGGTGAAGTGTCTAAATCTTAAATCTTTTTCGGAAAGTAAATGTTAGCTTTTCTCCTTGTAGGCTGTAGTAGATGCTGTGCTTGCCATCTCTAAACCTAATGAACCCATCGACCTGTACATGGTGGAAATCATGGAGATGAAGCATAAGACTGACAGCGACACACAGTGAGTAAAAAAAAAAAAAGAGCTTAAAGCTCTTGTATGAAATCTAAAGATTTTTTCTTTTCCCCCACAGGCTGATAAGAGGTTTAGTGTTGGATCACGGTGCTCGACATCCAGACATGAAGAAGAGAGTGGAGGATGCTTACGTTCTGACGTGCAACGTGTCCCTGGAGTATGAAAAGACGGAGGTCAACTCTGGCTTCTTCTACAAGAGTGCTGATGAGAGGGAAAAACTTGTGGCTGCAGAGAGGAAGTTCATTGAGGATCGTGTGCAAAAGATAATCGCTCTAAAGAAGAAGGTCTGCCCCGGTGATGAAAAGGGTTTCGTCGTTATTAACCAGAAGGTGTGTTTGAAGAAGGCTTCATGCTTTATTCACAGTTTGTGTTTTTACAACTTTTATAATACATAAAGTACTATGATATAATAATGCACCATAATGTCCAGGTCTGTGTGGGTTTAAAAGTGTGTGTGTGTGTGTGTGTGTGTGTGTGTGTGTGTGTGTGTGTGTGTGTGTGTGTGTGTGTGTGTGTGTGTGTGTGTGTGTGTGTGTGTGTGTACATCTACTGATTTCTAAGCTTTTTGTGCCAAAGTTGAGGCTTAATGAGATGCATTATGTGCACAGTGAACACCCAAGGATGCTAATGTGGCTCTCCCTGGTCTCTTACATCTGTGCCACAGTAACTCTGATCTGTACCTCTGCATTAGGAGGTTCTGATCCTCCCCTATATGTATTCAACAGATCAGAACACTTTAAATCACTAAAACAACCCTTTTTGTTTTAGTTAAATGAGAATTAAAGATTATTGGTTGGATTGAATGACCATTGTAAAGGCTGGTTTTCTCCCTGTATTGGTTTAGGGTATTGACCCATTCTCCCTTGATGCCCTTGCCAAGGAAGGCATTGTTGCTCTGCGCAGAGCAAAGAGGAGGAACATGGAGAGGTAAGAAAGGAGCCAAATCAGCAGGCCATATTTATATCTGTAACATTATTTACTCTGCAATTAGTCAAAGATTACATTCCTTGTGTTAATAAACATTTAGTTGCTAAATGAAACGTGCTGATGGTTACAACACTTCATTCTTGGTGGTTCTGAATTTCTCATTTCTGTTTTTTGTTTTGGGGCAGGTTGACCCTCGCCTGTGGTGGGATTGCCATGAATTCAGTTGATGACCTCACACCCGACTGCTTGGGACATGCCGGTCTGGTTTATGAACACACACTAGTGAGTGTTCTGGTTTTTATATTTGATACTTTTATCCTACAGCCTGAATATAATGGGTTTGTGTTGTTGGGGGAGATTTGTTCAGTGCTGTTAATGCTGTCTGCAGGGGGAAGAGAAATACACCTTCATTGAGAAGTGTGGGAACCCTCGCTCAGTCACCCTGCTGGTGAAGGGCCCCAACAAACACACCCTCACACAGATCAAAGATGCAGTCAGGGATGGGCTGCGCGCTGTAAAGAACGCTATTGAAGATGGTAAGGAATCTGAAATCGTAGATTCTTAGATGTTTGGATCTCACTGTCAAAATATGTTGGCAGATTTTTTTATGTTGAATTTCATTTAGAGGATTTCCAAATTTTAATACCGTTCAACTTCCTCCACATTTTACTGCAGTGTACGGTATTACCGGGACTAATTTTAAAAATGATGACGTAAGCCTCAAGTGGAATTACCTTACTGTTGGTTTGGTCCTTCACCATTCAGAAACTGAATAACAAACACTTAAACAATATCAACATAACACGCATAATATTCACTTTAAGTAAACACAGCTTATAAAAAAAAAGTCTTCATCTGAAAAACCAGCATGTTACCTTTTCCAGTTTCAACATAGGACGGTGTGGACCGACAGCTGAAATCCCACTTCGATGAGCTTGTGGCACAGACACACGGGTACTTTGTGGCTAGCCGCAACATCTGGGGAAGGCTAGCAGCATATTTTCACCAGAAAAGTGTGTTGTCTCTTTTAATAACAGGCTCCAAACATCAGGCTGTTATTTCAGCTCCAGCTTGATCTGCAGGGCTGCGTCTTTTGCGACCATCTTTTGTTTACACAAATTACCTCAGTGTTTACCAGCCCTTCTTTTAAGTCTGCATTATGCAACGTCTCTGAAATTTGATAAAATTTGAAACAATTTAAGTAAAACTGAAAATTCAACCATTCATCTGTTTTATACATTCAATTTATTATTATTATTATTTTTTTTATTTTTTTGTATTTTTATTTTTAAGTCCTTGTCTCCTAAATGCACTTTTTTGTTGTTTGTATTCATGACGGTATTGGCACTGACACCGTTGCTATTTTACACCGGCTGTATACAGTATTACTGTAATACCGCCTAAGCTACACAAATGAAATGGTTTTAATGTGTTATTTGCTAGAGCTGTAGCGAAGCGTCGACGGCTCGATTCTAAAAATTCGTCGACGTCAGATCCGGAAGTCGACGCACCACGCCCACTTGTTGCATCCCCAGGAGTTTGTAAATAGAGGTGGAATCTGCCTGTTTTTCCTCTAGTTCGCCCTCTTCTCCGCCTTCACTAACATCTCCACCAAATACCGAAGACCCGGAACAATGTCCGTCCGCTACTAGGTTCCTTTCTTGTTTTGCCCGCCTTCGTCTCCCGGCAACGGACAACAACTTTCGGGGTCAGATGAGCTGCTTCGTCTCTATCGTAGATGTTGAAAATCACCCGGAGCGTTTCTCCCTTCATAAAGGAGCTTCTTTCAGACATTAGGAGAGCTGTTTTTGTGGTAGCAGTCTCTCCTCCATCCTGGTCTGTTTGCTGGGTGTTTTTGGTTTATTTAAACTTGGTAACTTGAACTTAACGTTGGTAAAGCTACTGTTAGCATCTTCGCTAACAGCTTCTTGCGTTTGGATAAGCTGTTACGTTTTGGTTTAGAGTTCATCTATTTTGTGGCGTATTACATTTAGAGTGTTGTGGGTTTTCGGTTTAGTTTAAAGTATCACCTTGAGTTTGGTTTAACCACCCAGTATAGAGTTTGGACCTTTGGAAATCCTTATTTTGGTCCAGAACCCTGTAATCTTTGCCCAGTGGGACATCCCTACTTATTAGTTCCCCACAGGCAGAATTAATTTTATTATTCCCAACCTGTGGTGGATGGAAAGGTTTATGATTTTTTGTTGTTGTAAATAAACCTGATCATTTAAACTTTTATATCCCATGTTATATTCCCTTCCTTTTTGCACATGAGCCAAACTCCCCAGGAAGGATTGTAACACCACTCGCCTCACACACAGGTGACCAAAACAAAGCAGCATGGAGACACTCCGTCTCCAACCACCTCTCAGGCAGCAGCCTGCACTCCCAAGTTCTACACGTCACCAGAACATAACCAACCAACACAATAAAAGCAGTGTTATACAAAATGGAAGGCCTGTAGTGTTTATTCTCTTACAGTAACAATTTATTAATTTTTTGGAGGAATTTATTTTAGATTTTCTTGTTTTTATTAATTGTGCAATAAAAAAAATCACTAGATTAATCGTCTAACTAGTCATTAGAATAGTCGACTATTCGATAAAATAATCATCAGAATAATCGTTTTAAAAATAATCGTTTACCCCCAGCCCTGTTATTTGCACAGTGAACACCCAAGGATGCTAACATGGCTCTCTCTGGCCTTTAGTGTCTGTGCTAACATCAACTCTGGTCTGTTCCTCTGCATTAGGAGAGTTTAGTCTCTCCTATATGTATTCAGCTGATCAGAACAAACCAACATTGTTTTCTTGGCAGATTGTGAAATAATCCATTTTTGTTCATGACTTCAGGAAGCGTCGTGCCTGGTGCCGGTGCATTTGAGGTTGCTGTGGCAGATGGTCTGGTGAAACACAAGCCCAATGTGAAAGGCAGAGCCCAGCTGGGAGTCCAGGCGTTTGCAGATGCTCTTCTTGTCATTCCCAAGGTGAATTCTTTGGATTTCCCTCATTTAATGTTTACAAAGCCTTGCAGTTATTTGACACTTTCTTCATAAACAGGAAAAACTACTGGTGCAGATTTATGTTCATACTGTGTTAACATTTTTTTTGCTGCTTCTTTTGTAGGTTTTGGCCCAGAACTCTGGTTATGACCCACAGGAGACTCTGCTGAAGCTGCAGATGGAGTACAAAGAGTCTGGTCAGCTAGTCGGCGTTGACCTCAGCACAGGTCAGAACCACAGTGTTTAGTCAAAAATACCAAATTATTCAAGTGCTTTTGTTTATAGTCATTGTAATAAACTAGAAATACTTTACCACTCTATGTACATGTTCACCTTTGTACAGACATAAAATAGTACATTAGTAAGACTCGGGGCTTGTTACTGACGATTTGATGTGTTTTAGGTGAGCCAATGGTGGCAGGTGAAGCAGGCGTTTGGGATAATTACAGTGTGAAGAAACAGCTCCTCCATTCTTGGTAAGATAAATTTTGAAGACCACTAAGGAGCAAAATGTTAGCTATTACGTTGAAAATCTTTTTTCAACCCTTTTAACTTGTGTCTGTTTACAGTACGGTGATTGCCAGCAACATCTTGTTGGTAGATGAGATCATGCGAGCTGGGATGTCGTCCCTGAAAGGTTAAAGTTCGTTGCTGTACTCACATGGATGGTTGTTTACCTGGCGGTTCAGTCAGTGCAATCCTGCTCTAGACACACTGAAGCATCCCGGCCGATGGACAGCCTTAGAGCAAACCCTACAGCACCCATCGCAGCATCAGTCAGAAGTCATCGTTCTCTTGGTCATGTTTTGTTTTCAGGAATTTGTCAATGCCTCCCTCAAAACTGATTGGTTTATTTATGAGATTCTGTTAAAAGCACTGACCTTTGTCACACTTTTGTTTCTACCCATTAAAGGTTTTCTTGGCTTCCAAAGAATATGGTTATTCTATTTTTAATGTGAAGAATTAATCTAAAAAGTATTTTGGTGTTGAACACATCAAGTCTACATTCATTGGTCCAAATCCGGCTCAAACAAACAGGTTATTGTCCTATCCAAATTCAAATGACGACATAGTAGTTCCAAAACATTTACTCTGATGTGGTAAACGTCTGACCGAAAACTGGCTTATGAGATTTTACAAGCCAACAGCAGGTGGAGCTAGTAAATACACAAACATGTTGAAATGTGTCAACTTCTCCATGATGTATTATAGCCCATTTCATACACAAGCAAGCCAGTGTGCTTTCCAGGAGCAAGAACAAAGAAATCCATGTGTTATGAAACTGGAAATTTTAAAATACACCAAATTTGCAAATATATAAATGCAATAAGGCTGAGCAGTGACGTGGCAGAAGGTGCATCATAAAAAACAATTCAAACGCTGATGAATATATCTTTTCATTTTGATTTAAAATTACTAGCATTGGGGCAGGAAGCTGCTTTCATCTGTGGGCAGCATAGTAGCTAAAAGCAGCTTCACCCTGTTTGGTTCTGACTCGAGGTTCTACCAGCTGACTGCTTGGATCCCTGCTGGGTGTTTACACTGCAAAGAAATCCGACATTTTGCTTCCATGCCATTGGGTGACTTATAAGTGATAGAAGCACTTAAATTTACTAGTAACCATATATATATACACACAAAAAAACAAAAACCGTCCTAGCTTGGCCTTTTCTTTAACACTACATTTCAGACCATTAGAAATGTCTGCAGGAGACTATTTCTAATATATATATATATATATATATATATATATATATATATATATATATATATATATATATATATATATGTATGTATGTATAGATACACGGAAACTTAAATGCCTTTACACCAACGTTTTTTTTTTAGATAAGTGCATTAAAATAAAATTGTAACCAATCCCTTTGAAGCAGCTTTGTGGACCATGGCAGAGAGCGGAACCTTTAAACCCGGGATGCTTTTAACGTCGAACAAGTTGCCACTGTCTCCAAATAGAAGAAAATGTTACAATAAATTTAAAGAATTACTTCTTTTAACATATGCTTAACTTTTGTATTTACGTTCATTCTTAATTTAACGAACGAGGTTATTAACTGCCTGTCAACAATGAACGCTAAAACTTTGTTCCGGATACTTACTTTGGTTTTGTACTCCGCTGCGGGTAAGACCTTATATTCATACAAAATCATTTTCGAAATAAGTTTCCACAGAGACGTTTTAAAATATTATGACTGACAGCCGTGGGGAATCTGGGGACGATGGTGACCATTCCCGGAGGAATGCTGAGGATGGGAACCAGTGCAGCCGATGGGAAGGACGGAGAGTCCCCCATCAGGGAGGTGGAGGTCCAGCCTTTTAGCTTAGACAAGTACCCTGTTACAAATGCACGTTTCAGGTAATGCAGCCCCAAATCTGATATACTGGTTAAAGAAAGAGTCATTAATTTGGTTTTTCATTCACAACAGAGACTTTGTGAGATCACAGAAGTATAAAACTGAAGCTGAGACTTTTGGGTGGAGTTTTGTTTTTCAAGACTTTGTTTCAGGGGAGATGAAGAGCAGAGTTACTCAGAGAATAGAGGTACTGTGTGTTTTCATTTATTAAATCCATATATGACAAAGAACGACTTCTAACACGTTTTCATCCTTCTATCAAGTCGGCTCCTTGGTGGTTGCCTGTAGAGCGAGCCTTTTGGAGACAGGTGTGTTTCAAACATCATTATGGGTGTAGATCTGCAAACGTTACCACGTCTGAGCACTTTCACCTCTTGCTGCTCAGCCTGCAGGTCCTGATTCAGGCATCCTGGAGCATCTGGACTTTCCAGTGGTTCAGGTGAGCTGGAATGATGCTCAAGCTTTCTGCAGGTGGAAGGGCAACAGGTTACCCACAGAGGAGGAGTGGGAGTGGGCTGCACGTGGAGGGCTGCAAGGTAAATTACACAAAACGGGTACTAAAAACAGATCATTACAGATGTTCCCTCAGTTGGACACTCGGATGCTCTCATCTTTTCTGTTTACGTGCCTCTTGTCTACCAGGTCGGACGTTTCCGTGGGGGAATAAGTTCCAGCCTAACAGGACCAACCTTCAGCAATCTGTGTTGCACTGTGACCCTGTTTGTTTTCATGTAGAGAAACCTGAGTGAGGAGTTCACTGCTGGGACGACTCGGTAGTCACAGCTGCCCCGCTGCTTTCATCACAGCTTCTCCATCGCATGCTGGTGCCTTTGGGCATGACACTTAAACTGCGTGTGGCCTCCTCGTTCTGCAAAACGAGTGTGTGTGTGAGTGGGTGAATGTGAGTTGTAGTGTGCAGTTCTGTGGGAGGTCAAAAAAGTTATGTATTCGTTGTCCCTTAGTTCAAACTGGAGGTGTAAAATAAAATTGGTTTAGATCAACAGGTCAGAGCTATGCATCAGAACAAAAACTGGTGCATTTCTTGTTCTAATGTAATAATTTACAACTCATTTCTCCTGGCGATGATAATGCCTCTGTCTAAGGATCCATGTAACGTTAGTGAATATAAAAATATACTAGCATGAGAAAAACAAGTAAAAATACTTGCTGTGTTCTACCCTGGTTGTACCATTTCTGTTGGTTTTAGGGAAAATTCCCAGATGTGGATTCTGCAGAGGATGGATACCACGGCACCTCTCCAGTCAAAGCATTTCCTCCTCAGAATAATTATGGTAATTATTCCTCAGCAAGTACAAATAAAAAAATCAGATATTTCAGTTTTATTTCTCATCCTGCAGGACTGTATGACATGATGGGAAACACGTGGGAGTGGACGTCCACACGCTTCCCAGCCACACAGCCAATGTACGTGCTCCGAGGCGGCTCCTGGATCGACACGGTGGACGGATCAGCCAATCACAAAGCTCGAGTCACAACCAGGTGAGTTACCGAGTTAAAGGTTAATTTCTCCTGTAGTGTCATCACTAATGGCTGTTGTTCTCTATCCTGCAGGATGGGCAACACCCCCGACTCTGCCTCTGATAACCTGGGATTCAGGTGTGCTGCAAGCCGCGAACAGACACGAGACAAAGCAGAACTATAGCAACAGAGCGTAAATGAAAAAGGTGGATGACATAAAGAAGGCAGTAGTGAATGGAAGCTGGGAAGCAGATCCTAAATGCCTCAACAGAAACTGGATTCTTTACTGGTTCTTGGAAAACATCCAGTGGACAGAATAAATTAACTGAACAGAAAGGGGGCGCTCAGTGGTAGTCCTCCTCCTCCTCAGATTTCTCTTATTGAGACTTTGACGTGACTGAGAAGAAAATCAGTGTTCTAATCCTGTTTTTGCCTTCTGGGTCCTTTCTTTGTCATCATGAGGTTTGTTGGACTCAACAGTTGGGGCCCCTTCTGAGAATTTCAATCTAGACTCCAGTTTTGATTCCGTATCCTGTTGCTGTGTAAAAACTCACGAAATGATCGCTGCCTTTCAGCGCGACCACACGAGTGGTTTCAGAAAAACAGCAGAGGTGGAGTTTAATGAGTTTTCACTTGACTTTCTTCAACCAAACAGGTAGATGCTGCAAGATTAAAGTAAACCATGTGGCTGTTGAAATAAATTGTGCAAATGCTTTTTTTTATCATGCAAACTTTTTTTTGGCTTTGCACCTCCACAGTTCCTGTCTGAAACCCTTCTGCAGATGTGTGCCTCGTGCATTTTAACGTGAAGCCGTCGTGACGCATGAATGTTAATGCGTCCCTTTTTAAATAAATGTCTTTTGCTCAAGAGTCAAACGTGCAATATCAGTGAAACATTTTCATGATTTGATTAAGATAGAAATGAGTCATTTAAAAGCTTTTAATTTTAATAAATAGCATTTAAAGTTAACACATTTCCGGAAGATTCCGGAACTGCGCTGCTCTGGGTGGCTGCATGTTGGAGTAGCTCTGTTTAATCAATTTCCCTCTGGGGTTAATAAAGTATTTTTGAATTGAATTGAATTGAATTTGAAAAAATGCTGAGAATTATGACATTCTGCAAGCGTGGATGACTCAGATCCTTCATAAAATATTAGGACACAACTCATTTGAATATTTGTAGGAGGTTGATAATAAATGTGTTCCAGTTACAGATTATTATTCCTTCTGATCAGTGTTGAACATGACTAACAGTCCAAGCTTGGTGTTTGATGAGCAGTTTCTTCTTTGTGGTTCTTTTGGTAAATCTAAAAATTTTCTTCTATTGGTTTAAAAACTTAATTTTTTTCAAAATAAAAATATATTATGCAAGGAAATGCAGAATCTTGTAAAATGATTTTAGAGCAGAATAAATCATTATGTCTTAAAATATGGATTTTATGTGTGAATTTAAGTAAAGAAAGGAGGAACCAGGACTGAAGGTTTAAAAAAGATTAAATCCGTCTTATTTGCATGTTTTGCCAGCATAATAAGCTAATCTGATTTATAAATGCTGACACAAGTAAGGTTTGAGGGAAAACCAGGGTGTTTTTTTTCTGATTTTTGGATGACACACACATAAAATGCACTATAACAGGCATGTCCAAAGTATGGACCAGGGGCCATCTGTGGTCCTCGGGGTGATTATGTGCGGCCCTCACTTCTAGAATGTTGAAATGCTTCTTTTCATCAGGCTGTTTGTTGATGTTTATCCACACTTTTTAAAATGTTTATTTTTTACTATTATGAGATCTTTGAGCAGTAAAATTGAAAAAAGAATCCAAAAGCACATTTTTGTGCTCCGCAAAGACTTTTAACATGATCCTTTTTGACCCACGTCTTGAAAAGTTTAGACCCCCTTGCAGTATATCAGTAAACTTAAGTGTTCCTGCTGCACTGACACGGATCATAGAGAGCTGTTCTACTCGAACACATTTACTCGGTTTCTCCCTGCCTCATCTCTGCTCGCGAACGCAGGGGAATTTTTGTAGCCGTCACCACAAAGTTACCCCATCTAAAGAAAGACAAGAACTGGCGTGGTGAGAATTTTTCATCACTATAAATAAACCCATGACTAGTCACACATGTGGGTTTAAATTTGTTTACCTCACTCCTTCCTTTCTTCACAGGAACCTTGTGTTTGATTTGCTCAGTGAGCAGGTGCTTTGCGTCAAGCTTTAATATTTCTGATGGTATCTAAGGGATCAGGAGACCTTGCGTCTTTGTCTCAGGGCTGCTCCGGTATGTGTATGCGTCACGTGTTTGTTTAGCAACAAACGAGGAAGCACACTGAGACAGATGGCTTGAAACCACAGCCTCCAGTGACATCACATCGTATCATGCCTGCAAGGTCGCACGTGGTTCAGGTAAAACCAGACAAGCGACATTCTGATGAATCTCTTTGTCCCTCCCTCTTGTTTAATTGTCTCTTTTTCCCATGCGTGTGTTTATTCCTCTCCACTTCGTCTGAGTGTTACTCCTGCCAAGGCGATCATGGATTACTCTCAACCCTTCTCAGTCCTCAACGAGAGGCTGAGACCTCGATCCTCTACCAAAGAGCAGCTCATCTCTTCCTTGGGCAGACTGGAGAACAGAAAGCTCGACTCGTTCAGGAGCAAATCCACATCCTACACTCAATCCATGCTTCAGACAGAGCCAGAGCCAAAAGTCTCCATAACAGATCCAGAAGATCTGGAGGAAACCAAAAGCTACGAAGAGGAAGAAGAGTTGGTCTGTGGCTGCAATGGAGAAGGAAAGTCTGAGGATCTCATGCTCTTTGACGACCTTATTGGTGATTTGTGTTTGAAAGAAGTGGACGATGAGGAGATGAGCACTGATGACAGCAGCGTCACACATTCTGAGGAGACAGACAGCGCAGGGGAGCTGGTTTCAGTGGGGACAAGAGACCCTTCAAAGTCTGATGCATCAAGTGAAGCAGAGGGCTCCTTCCAGAGGTCCTGCATGGACAGATCCCTCCCAGACCTGATAAAGAGTGGCAGGCCGCTCTGCAGACGCAGAACCGTGGCGCATGTCTCGGAGACGGTAGGAAAAACAAGTTATTAGATATTTATTAGTGCAGGAGATTGAAAAACGCTACAAGGAACCTTGTCAGACCTGTAAGTCTGGGAGGAGACGGACTTAAGTGTCACCCGGGAGCTACACAAACATATAAAAGGCATCAAATGAAAGCTGCAGTGTTTTCCCACATTTTAAAGTATCTTTGACGTCAAAGTGCAGCAAAACTGTAAAGATGATGGATGATTTTATCAGGATGCTTTATGCTCCTTTGACACCTCGAGATTTATAATATCAGGAAAACATTATTAGTGGGACAGTTTTTATGCTTATTATCCTCATTATGTGTCCAGGTGTTTGTGAGCGGGCACAACTGGTCTCACTTAGGAATCTAAATTAGCACTTTCTGTCTACACTGATAAAATGTTGAGGAGTCGGAGCCTTTTTATAATCGGGCTCGTGATTATCTTCATGTCGTCATGTTTCATCCACAGCTTAAGGAAGTGCGCAGAGAAGTGGAGCTGTCTCGGAGACGAAGTATCAAACTCAAGGCCCAAGTGGACAAACTGCAGGAGAACAGAGACGGACCGGGCTGGAGCAAGCACAAGGAGAGCGTGAGTGTCACACGCCGAGACCGGGATGCAGACAGATAACTGCAGAGCTTCTAATGACCTTCAGATTCTACGGCAGGTCACGGAGGAGGTTCTGTCGGTTCTGGGGTTGCTGCATCCTCTGGTGGAGCCGGAGTTCAGCCAGCCAAAGCTCGGCGGCGGCGGGGAAAGCCGCCTGGAGACTGCTGTGGCCCAGCTGCAGATTGTAGCTCGCAAACTGGTGATCAGCCACAGCAAGCAGGTAAACACACACACACACACACACACACACACACACACACACGCACGCACGCACGCACGCACGCACGCACGCACGCACGCACGCACACACACACACACACACACACACACACACACACGCACGCACGCACACACACACACAAGCCACTGTTTACTTCCACCTGCACTCAGTTTCAGTTGATTTTAGTGGGCAAGACACACCCAGGAATGTTTGCTTTGCGTTTATGACATCAGGTGGTTAACAAGTGATCTTAAAGTCATCTGTCCCTTTTGGGGGCACCAACAAGAAGCTTCGAACACCAATACATTAACTCGATACCTTCATCGTTTCTTAGCATTGAAAGATGGTTTCACTCTTGAAGATGAAGAATCTGTAATGCATTTTTTAGCCAACCAACAAAAATGTCATCCTGTCAGTTATTAAGTAGCTGAAGTTTTGGGATTCCTGCCTGAGCTTTGTGGCATTTGCTAAAGGCATTCCTGATAACGCGTCCTGTTCTGGTGAACAATGGGGCTTTAAAACCTTCGCTCGGAGAATTGAGTTCAGCTATGTGGCCTTACAGGTTCACGGGTGAAAGTTTCAGCTGTTCTTCAGGCGCTTAGATTTCTGAGTGACACATTATTCAACTTTTGTTCATCAGGAGTCCAAATCTGGAACAGAGGACAGCGGTGTCCTCCAGCAAGCACTGAGGGACAGAGACGACGCCATAGAGAAGTGAGTTCACACTCTGATTGGTGCACAAACCGCCACAATCTTCTAAAAAACTGATGAATCAAGATTAAATGGAAAGAAAAAAAAGGAAGCTGAAAGTCCCAAATCTATTCTGAGGAATGAATCATTGTTTCCGTTTCACTGAGCAGAAAGAAGGCGATGGAGGCTGAGGTGCTGCGCAGTAAGACGGAGATGATGGTGCTGAACAACCATCTGCTGGAGGCTGCACAGAAACGTCTGGAGCTCTCACTGGAGCTGGAAGCCTGGAAGGTATAAAGCTGAGGGGAGTTTAATGTTTAGCAGAGAGCGTGTAAGGGTGTGTTCTCTGAACAAACACACACCAAAGGCTGAAATGCGAGCTGTGTGTCCTTTTGAGGAAAACGAGGAACTAGCCAGAACAGAATAGAAAAGTACAAACATGGCTTATCATCAAGAACGGGGTAGAACACAGAATGAGCTCCAACAGAGAAAAGGTATGAAGGTATTTTTGGGGCGGAATTATATATATATATATATATATATATATATATATATATATATATATACACATATGTATATATATATATATATATATATATATATATGTGTGTGTGTGTATCTATACATATGTATATATGTCAGTGTGTATATATATATATATATATATATATATATATATATATATATATATATATATATACATATGTATAGATACACACACACACATATATATATATATATATATATATATATATATATATATACACACTGACATATATACATATGTATAGATACACACACATATATATACATATATATACATTGGTTTATGTTTATGTATTTAGCAGACGCTTTTGTCCAAAGCGACTTACAAGTGATAATCGTCATTTTGCCCTTGAGGCTAACAACAACAACATTGACATCAGTCATGGAGAGTAGGGAATATATATACACATATGCATATATATGTGTATTTATACATATGTATATATATATATATATATATATATATATATATATATATATATATATATATATATATATATATATATATATATATATACATATGTATACATACACATATGCATATATATGTGTATTTATACATATGTATATATATATATATATATACATACATATGTATAAATACACATATGTATATATATATGTATATATATATATATGTGTGTATCTATACATATGTATATATATATATATATATATATATATAAACAAGAAAGTTTTTTTTTCACCATCTATTGAATGTTTCTGAGAAATCATTTAATAAAGTGAAACATGAATGGATGCAGAAAATACAAATTAGACAAAAATTAAACCACAAATGTGAGTGAGACTCTTACAAAGATAAATCAACTGTTTAAACTATTTTTTCTCGTTATAAAAGAAACATGTTAAATTCTGTAAATGTGTAAAAAGGGATTAGATCTGACATTATTCATTATCTTGTATTTCATTTAGTAAATAATAATTTCTGCTCTAGAATGTCAAGTTTCCCAAACGTCCACAGCTATTTTTGTTCTTTTAGAAATCTTACAATGTTCCAAATGTTTTAGTGTGTCACAGATCTGGACTGCAGGCAGACCAGTTCAGCAGCCGAACCCTTTTGTGGTTGTTACAACAGCATGACTGAAGCCGTGCAGCTTTGACACGAAATGTTTGTGATTTACAGAGATCATTTGAATCTTATCTGAAGGTTTACTGCTTTAAAAATTATTCTGTTGTTAACTGTAAATACCTCTGACTCATCAGATCAAAACCTAAAAGCTTCTTGATGCTTCATCTTTTTCTGCCGTCCCCCCCTTTTTTTCTGGATGTGAAACAATTATTTATTTGAATGAGACTTATGTGTTAAATCAGGACGTAATTTAACTTTTCGCTGTTGAATCAACCATTAGAACAAGATTTAGTCTCTTATTGTAGCAAATGAACTGAGCTGGAAAAAAATTCTAACCAGTAACCAAACATCCTAAAAGAGATGGAGTTAAACTTTATGACTGTTTTTACCTTCATCTTCTTCATATCATTAATTTAAATTATAACTTTCATTGCATCAAGTAAAAGAAAATAAGCAAAGAGGATAATTACTTTTAATTATATCAATAGTAATTTTAATATTATCTTTTAGATTTTTTATTGCCAAAATTAATTTTAAAGGTCTAAAAATGATTCTTACTTTTTTGGGGAGAATTGATGAACATTTTGGATTAATCTAAACTTAAAATAATGCAAAAAACCCTTTTGAGTCTAATTAATATAATAAAATTATAGAAAGTGCTGCTGGGTTCTTGTATTGTTTATTTATTTCAGTTTGGGATGTTTGTTGCTTAATGAAATAAGTAACTTCTACTATAAAAAATAAGCTAGCAAAATATAATCAAAGCCACCTCTTGGAATTTTACATAATATTTTAAAGGCCTAGGAGATCCAGAGTTTTAACTAATAATCAGGTTTTCTAATAGAAAAGTAATTTCTATATTTCATAAACTTCAGCAGATTGGCTCATCGACTGTTTTGACACTTGAATCCCAGACGACTGATCATTTAATAAAAATATTTTCTCTCATTTTTCTTCAGGAGGACTTCCAGCGGCTTCTGCAGCAGCTGGTGCAGATGCAGCAGCAGGCGGATCAGGCCCAGAAGAAATCTTCTCGCATGGGCATCCTGAGGAGAATCAACAAGACACCCGTCCAGCGTCCGGCCAACTGCCCTCTGCCAGCGACATCGACTCCTCCTACAACCAACTCCAAGCAGATCTACAAGATAGAATCTGCAGGTTCTGCCTCTCCCACTCCCAGCAGCAGCAGCGGAGGAAGTGGGAGCAGCAAAGGCACCTGGAAGTTGAAATCCAAAAAGAGCAGGAACAGTCGGCTTTGGTATCAGGAGCAGGACTCAGATCACTGCAAGTACGATGACGGCTTCCAGGTCGTGTCACTGGACTAAAACGTTAACCTGATTCACCGATCTTACACTAAACCTTCCTGAAAACACTCAAAAGCATCCTGCTCATTGAGTTTGAGTTTACCAGTTTGATACTAGAAAGCCATCGGTCTGGGTAAGAGCAGGACTTCCCGATTCTCACACTGATGGAAAATGCTGTTAATGAACATGTTAATATATTTAGCATTTTTCTGTGAATTAGGAGCAATGAAGTAGATGGGTGGGTAGATGTGGGTAAAAAAAACAAACAAAAAAAAAACATCACAGGAACTTAATTTATATATTTTAAATGAAGATTTAAATGTGTATACTGGAAAACATCTGGATTTTAGATCTACGTAAAAAATATATCAGTGAATATAAATGAGCCGTGTCATTCAGATAAATTAACTTTCTTTTTGACATTTTCAAGCTGTAAATAAAGAAATCTACAGAAAACCTGCTTCAAATTATTGATGCTGCTTAGTTTACTGCCCCCAAAAAACATTTTCACAGATTTTAGCTGTTTTATTGTATAATATTCCCAACAATATATAATCCACTTTTATATGCATATTGCAAACATTTACAATTTATATATATATATATTTATATATATATTTCATATAGTACCACCGTCGCCGTGGCAACATAAGGAACAAACTAAGAGAAAAGGCATGCTCATAGGGTGAGTTTTAGAGTCCTGAACAGATGATCAACAACCCTGTTGGCTGAGAGTTTCACTGCAACACTTCAGGGAACGGGACTTGCATTCAGATATTCCCCCCCCCCCCCCCCCCCCCCCCCACTGATCATGTGCTGAAACACAAATCCATCCAGTGGGAGGAGCTTTTAAAAAAGTACCGTTAAACTTAATTTAGCCTATTTTTAGACATCTCTATCCATGCCAAACATAAAACAATTGATTGTGGTAAACATTTAGTGCCTCAGCTGTTAACTGAACCGGCAACCCAGCTGCCAATCCAAAGCCTGCTAAACATGATTGTAGAATAAAAGTCTTTTGGTGAAGTCCTACAGAAACTGGAAAAGGAGCCGTTAGTAGAAGAGGCACATTCACACGAACAACACCCTGCTTATTCATAAAAGTGGCAGTTTCACTACTGGACCTACACTTCCACCCACCATGGCGACTGGAACGAGATGATCACAATTTACAATTAAATACGTGTTTTTACATGGTGGCAGCGTAAATTTGCAGTATTCTCGTACAACCTTGTGCCTTATTTGTAAAGAGAAGTGAGAGAAGAGAGAAAGAACATTTCATCAAACACTGAAAGGACCTAACGAGTACAAAGACACAACAACATCACCATGACTTGTTGCCAGACGCAAAAGAATATAGAATCATCAGCTAATGTAGCCCAGGGAATAGATCTGAGTTAATAATACTGTTGGGAGAGTTACGGTGGCATGAGAGCGCTCTCAGACGGACACCTCATGTCTAACACACAGCAGATACACACAGGCAAGGGGGAAAAAAAAACTAGCACTAATATCAACACTGAAATCATTCCCACAACAAACCTACAGTACCATCACAGTCTCTGTGCAGAACTCCAAACTCAACTTGGACACATTCCTCTATTTTCCTACATTAAAACATCCTTAAATATTCATTTAATTAGATCACTTCTGAATCTTACAATCCCAGATGAGTTAAAGCTGCTTCTCTTTAACCTGACCTAAAACAAAGAACTTAAAGACAAGTGCAAATGAGTTTCTTTGGATTAGTACGTCGTCTCCAAAATCACCAACTGTTAATGTTGAACTGGAGGTATCCTCATTGCTAAAGTCTACGTAAAAATCCTAACGCGAACCTCCAGGAACTCTACTTGTCTGAGAGAAAAAAAGTAAACATTACCAACAAAAAAGGAGACATCACTATACTGACTTATGGTGTTAAAAGGAGTAAATAACTACAGCAGAGGAGTGAGCTTGGTCTGGTGTTGGCAAGTATAGGCGTCGTTAGTGACCCTCGCTCGTGCTGAAGCTGCTGAATTCTCACCGAGGAGTTTTCGGCGAGGGGAACGCTCAGCTGAGCGTTCAAAAGTTTGGAGGTGTCGGCCGGAGGCAGCTAAGACTGAAGGAAGGAGATGATGGAGCTGATGAAATCTAAAGGTTTGTCAGCGTGGATCCAGTGGCTAGCGTCAGGGATGTACTGGATGTCGGCGCTCGGGAACAGCCTCTGGATTTCTGGGTAATCGTCGGAGCTGGAGCAGGAGCGCAGACAAAGAGGAGGAAAACAATGGAAGGGTTAAAGGATGCTCATAACAAAAGTGAAAAAAATAACAAGAAAAACTCCAATAAGCAATTCAGGGAAAAATTATTGGTGCACATTTGTATACATGTCTCTGTTTCTATAAATAAGTTCTAGGTTTTATACCTGATATACGCGGAGCTGGCTCCACCTAAAAACAGCGTAGGTCCATTATAGATGGTGTTAAAGCTGGGGAAACTCATGATTTCCTCCAGATGTGCTGCAATGGCCTCCAGGTTCACCCTCCAGGTGTAGTGTCCATTCTGCTCCACCAGATTAGTCAGCAGGAACTGACGCACCGAGTGCTCCTGCGGCAGGTAAGGAGGGACGGGGTTAGATTTCCTACCGAGTATATTAAATTAATAGCATCAACTCAGAAAGCGGTCCTGACCTTGACCCTAGCGCGCAGCTGATCCTCAGCCATCCGCCTGGCAGTGGAACGAGGGATGTCACTGGAGATCTTCATCTCCTGCATGGCCTGGATGTAGTAGCGGAAGTTGGTGCGCGTGGTGGACTGGGCGGGACTGATGTCTACCACCACCAGTCTCTCCACTAAGCTGGGCTGTAAACAAACACAAACAGATTGAGGTTAACAGGAAATAAAGTTACAACAACAAAAAAATCTACGAAAATGAGACGTGATGACTGCATCAGCACCTGACTGCTGCGTCATGAGAAAACCAGCCTGGTTGCTTTATCTGCTGAGCAAAACACGTTCCATTTAAACCGAGGAATCTTCAAATTAAAAAATAGTGTGAAGCAGAAATGGGGCTTTAAGAATTACAGATTTATGACTTGAGTGCTATGTCTCAGATTTTAAACAAAATGGACAAAGTCACATAAAATGTTACTTAAAGGGAGACAAGACGATTTTGGCTGGTTTTTAGGAACCTCTAGTGTCCGTTGAGTAGAACCAAAAGCAAAACTTATCTCCTCATTGTGCGTTCGTCTTTTTAACACTTTAATCTGAAAGCTGAAATGTCTCCCCGGCCTTCATTAGTGTCTACAGGAGTGATTCATCACTAAATTAAACAAATCAGTTGTATTCATGATCTGAAACATGCTGGAAGCAGACTGCAGCGCCAGGCGTGTCAGCTCAATTTTTTTCTAAGTCCAACAGACCGGACCAGCCCTCTGAAGTTGTAAGTGCGGTATTCTTGCCACAGAGGACGATGGGGGTCTGAGTGACATTTCATTAACCCTGTAAGGAGTTGTTTTAGCACATACTGGCTCAAGAAAAAAGATTTTAAAATATGAAATAGTTGCAAAGAATCCCTTAAAAAAGGCTTGTGGTGTTACTTTTTCTAAGCTTGAATTCAGATGATTAAATCAGTCGTTATGGAACAGCCCTACCCTCGTAAACTACCGACTTAAGCTGCAGTGTGTAATATTTGTACCATTATTGCCACGAGCCCAGGGGCGTGTCCAGGGGGTAGCCAGGGGTAGTACATGCCACCCTTGGAATCTGATTGGCCACCCCACTGAATTTGCTTTAAATAGACTTTTCCACAAAAAGTTTGGGGTAAAAAAGAAAAAGCATAACCATTGTGCCACCCATGCACAAAGAAGTGCACTACCTGGGCCACCCCATTTTAAAAGATCTGGCCACGCCACTGCGCGAGCCAGGGCGATGCTGTGGAGAAAGAGCTGACAACACTGTTCCTGTTTGGCCAATTACATTAATTATTTATCATGTCAGTGAAATGTAGATTAACATAACAAAAGCAAAATAATGTTCTTACGATAAATTCGTGGTGACCTTTTGCAGCAGCTCACCTGTGTCAGAGCGATTGTCATGGCAGTTTTGCCCCCCATGCTATGGCCGATGAGGACGCACTTATCAATATGCAGCTGGCCGAGAAGGTGTTTCAAATCACTGGCCATTGCCTCATAGGTCAGCTCTGGGGTATGTGGGCTGTTGCCATGGTTACGGGCATCTACAGTCAACACCTGACTGGACAAAGGACAGTTAAGACACTTGGAAAGGAGAAATGGAGGCAACAGAGCGGAAACCAAAGTCTTACATTAACTTTGTTCTGTTTTGTGTTTGTTTTTTTAGCACAAGCAAAAGCTGCCTTGTACAAATGATGAGACGTCTCTTTGATACGTCTCAGTGTTTGAGACAGCAGCACACACAGCTAGATTAGATGACAAAATAAAACACAGCTTGCACATTCCCCAAGCTCGTGTTTGCAGGAGTTATTGTCACACTGTTGTGAGCAAATGTAAACACACAATGAATCGTTGCAAAAGTAGCATCATGGAGGTGTAATATCTTCATCACTACTTTACCTTTCTGCCTGTGCGCTGCACCAAGGACTTTGCTATCGAGTGGAAGTTAGATTTACTGCCGAACAGGCCGTGCAGAAACACCAAAGGAGTGCTCTCTCCTTTTCCATCGAAGACGTCATACATTAAGTTGACAGAACTGAAGGGAAGAAACACAATCGTATTGAGCAGTAATACCCCGCAGCTACAACGGCAGTAAACAATATGCAAACACAAAAGGCATTAATATTTAAAACACTTCTTTATTGAAATCACTTTGCTTCCACCTGCTGGTGCAGCAAACCTCATTATCATGATGAACATTCCTCAAAGTGAAATGTCCTTCACTGTTCAAATGAAGTCTTATAATCACATATCCTAATGTTTGTTTAGCTGCAAAATATTAATTCTATATAAATATATCTTGAAAAGACTTAAATATCTGTGACTGAGGTGCTCTATCTTTATAATCAAAATACCTTTTCAAATATGCAGATTTTTACGTAACAATAAACTGGGAAATTATAAACAAACATATTTACTTTGTCTAATTAATCTTGAAATAAAATCTGCAAAATCGTGTCTTATAAAAATGAATGGATTTTGGTCTTCTGTTATTTAGGCTAAAAAAATGTTTAAAACGTTTTGCATTCCTGGTTATTTACAAAATGTAAGATTTTAAATGTATCCAATAGGCGGGGTGTCCTAGGTTGTGTGCTGAATTTGTTAACAGAACACTACGTTCTGACATAAACGTTTTAATAATAAGCAAATAAAATTATTTAAAAGTTACAAACCTCCAAAATCTTACAAAAGAAGACGAGGACTCAGATTCAAAGAGAATATCACACATATACAGCTAGCTAAGATGCTAACTAGGTGTGTATGTAAATTACAAAAACAATAACCTAAATAAATTAATGTTTTGGGGATTTAAATGAAACAACACAAAATAAAACATTTATTCACAAATAAAATTGATTTTGAAGCTGCAGTGAGGCCAGATTCTCATTAAAAACATTGCTAACCAGACATCTGAATGTCATGTACGTGAGCCGTAACATTTACACTAAATTCAAAGATAATCAAGCCGTTCATTAAATGAGGTTAGGCAATACAAACTCAGGGTTTTTTATTTCCCTTCAGCATCACAGCACCACCCAGCCCGCCCGGGTAGCGGTGCACCTGATAGCCGAGGAGCTAGCAAGGATACCTGGGTGAGCTAGCCGTTCGGACCGTTAGAGCTGCTCCGAACACATCCAGCTGTCCGGGAAATAAACGACACGACGGCCGGACGCTCAGCAGTCCTCTCTGAACCAGACGACATAGAGAACTCATAGCAGCATATGTTCCGTTACCGGACGGTCCACAAACACCATGTGCAGTCCACAACAGCCGCAATGACAGCGAGGAGTCTGCGAGAGAGCATTCAGAGCAACACCGGAGGTCGAACTCAAAGAGCTTCGGTGTGTCAACACCAGCTGACGGTACGTCATGACGTAGAACGAGACGTACAAGTGGATCATTCTCCCTGCGTTATGTCTTTCAGGCTCATCATCGCTAATCCGAAAATGTCGGCCTTTTCTTTACTGTGATGAAAAGATGTTGAAAATTTAAACAAATTAGCTGGGCATATTTCGCCATTTTATGGTAACAGGTGGTATTAGAAAACGTCTGCTCTAAATAAAATTATTATTATGAAAGCTGTAGCAACAGCTTGTGTCCACCAGAGGGGGACATACTTTGGCCACTTTAGTGGGTATCGGGTTGGACCCTTTTTTGCCTTCAGAATCACCTTAATACTTTTTTGCACAGATTCAACAAGTTTCTGGAAACATTCCTCGGAGATTTTGATCCATATTTACATGATAGCATCACGCAGTTGCTGCAGATTTGTCAACTACAAATCCATGATGCGAATCTCCCGTTCACTGAAAGATGCATTGGACTGAGATCTAGTGAGTGTGGAGGCCATTTGAGAACAGTGAACTTGAGTGTGGAGGCCATTTGAGAACAGTGAACTCATTGTCATGTTCAAGAAACCAGTCTGAGATGATTCAAGCTTTGTGACATGGTACATTATTCTGCTGGTAGTAGCCATCAGAAAATGGGTACACTGTGGTCATAAAGGGATGGCCATAGTCAGCAACAATAATCAGGTAGGCAGTGGTGTTGCAACGATGATCAATTAGTACTAACGAGCTCAAAGTGTGCCAAGAAAATGTCCCCCACACCATTACGCCCCCACCACCAGCCTGAATCGTTGATAAAAGGCAGGATGGATCAATGCTTTCATGTTGATGATTCTAAGTTCTGACAGTACCATACAAATGTTGCAGCAGATAATGAAAAGGAACCAGACCAGGCAACATTTTTCCAATCTTCCATTGTCCAAGTTTTGTAAGCCTGTGCAAATTGTAGCTTCAGTTTGACATGAAAGGCACCCAGTGTGGTATTTTGCTGCTGTAGCCCATCTTCAACATGATGTGCGTTCAGAGATGCTGTTCTGCATACCTTGTAATGAGTGGTTATTTGAGTTACTGTTGCCTTTTTATCAGCTCTATTAATCCCCTCTGACATCAGCAAGGCAACTCACTGGATATGTTCCATTTTTGGACCATTCTCTGTAAACCCTAGAGATTGTTGTGTGTGACAATCCCAGAAGAGCAGCAGATTCTAAAAGTCAGACCAGCCTGACTGGCAACAACAACCACGCCATGTTTAAAGTCACATAAATAACCTTTCTTCCCTGTTCTGAAGCTCGATTTGAACTGCAGAGGATCATCTTGACCATGTCAACATGGCTAAATGCATTGAGTTGCCATCATGTGATTGGCTGATAAGTAACTTGTGTTAAAGAGCAGTTGGATGGGTGTACCCAATCAAGTGGCCAGTGAGTGTATGTATGTATATATATATATATTTGTATGTGTGTGTGTGTGTGTGTGTGCGTGCGCGTGTTGTTGTATGAAAAATCTTCTTACACGTGTCCAATACAAGGAAAACAATTTTACACAGTCCATAGCAAGGCTATTTAATTATGTTTTCTTGCCACAAGAATAGATTAATCATCCCTTTAGAATATCCCCGTGTTCTTGAGGAGCTTGTTATTCCCTCTTTGATCCAAACTAGGTGCATTGGTGCAGGATAACTTAGGACACATTCAGGCAGTGCCCCTGGAGGACGAGGACCAGGCATTGTTCTTTACTGGTTGCAAAACAAATAATGAAGGAAGGACATGTATGAACCAACAGGTGACGCCAAAGTATCACAGTGTTTTGTTGAAGACAACCCAGTCTGGTATTTTTACACAAAGAAACAGTAAGTGATGTCTTATTCTGCAGATTTCTTTGGAACAATTTACTAAAAGGCAGCATTCACAAATTGTTTATTTGTAATTATTTTGTTAAATGCTCCTTGTCTTCTGATCTACTCCAACGATTAATAGCTTTGAGTCAAGCAAATTTATTTCTGCCAATGAACATCACATCAACGCTGACAAAGATCTTTTGTGTGTACATCGGAAAATATGTGATATAAGATGTGTTTCTATTTATCCTCTAGTTTCAGTTCCCTTTTCGTTTTGCTGTCGCATCCACCTGTGTCCGTCTGTGGTCAGAGCATTTGTGCTCTGTCTGGCTTCGGTTTTAATTTTTATCATCAAGTATATATGAAGACAAAATAGGTGTGGGGATTCTTCCTGTTGGGTCTCCAAAACATTCATTGCTATGGGAGCTGAGTCTTCAGGGATAAAACATGCGGCAAGTGGTCGCCATAGCGATGAGGCAGCGGCCCAAAGTACAACATGAGAGGAGAGAAAAGGAAGAGTCTGTTGATCAACCTTTCGTAACAAACTGATTTAACACTGAAACACAATGTGAACTTTTATGCCTGCTTTTAGTTTCATATCTAATGTACAAACAACATTCTACCGAACAGTCAAAGATGAATAGAATAGACGTTTATTGTCATTGAACCAGTATCCCAGTACAACGAGATGCACAAACTCAGACTGTAACAACATGAGTCTGGTAGGTGGGTGGGTGGGGCTGGGATCCCCTCGCCGCTGAGAGAGCATGCAGCATTCAGTGCGCAAACTTCCATCCCCACTGGTGTGGAGGAGCTCCTCCTTGAAGCTCCTCAGACATCCTTCAAACTGATGTGTAAGACTCGTCAACATTTACAGGAAATGTTTAACTGAAAATATTGATGCATATTTCTATTTCCACTGTTCCTTTAGATCTCGCTGGAAACTACAGTACACTTTAAAGCATTATCAAAACTTATTATGTCAACTAAAATATAAATAGACACAATTGTCACAGGAAATTTGAACATTATGTAACAAGCAGGCAAATAATCCAGAATATCTAATAAACTGCATAATTATATTCACAGCAGATAGTTTATCTGCTTAAACCAACCTCATGTCTATCAGCTGATAGGACTAGAATATCAGTGATACTCCGTGCTGATGGGTCATTATGTGTCTATCAGAAACCTGCTGGACTTTGCCCGTCATGTTCATGACACATCAGCTACCTGTCAAGTTCACATCAATGTCCACTTCTTTCTTCCATCTGCCTCTGATGAGAATAAGTGGACATTCAAATGTGGCTTTTTACTTGTTCCCCATTTTTTGTTTCTCTTATTTTGTGCTCATAAATAATGACTTGCAGGTGGCTGTCACGCTGAGATGGGAGAAGTGCTAAAGGGAAGATAATCAAAACGGTATATCGTATATATGAAGAATGCACGTGATTTCAGTCTAGTCACTTTGGTCAAAATAATTGTTCTGATTTAACACAAAAATTATTGCAAAGTTTAGCAGACTGGTCTAATCATTTAGTGATTCAGCTCAATGAGATCAAGAGTATAACTTTATGTGTGTGTGGGAATGTGTTTGTGCGAGCACCATAGACTGTACATATACACGCATGTGTGTGTGTGTGTGTGTGTGTGTGTGTGTGTGCGCGCACACTTTCAATAGGTAAGGGTTTAAAACATCTCAACATTTCCTGAAAAACATTAATCTGAGTTATAATTAGCCAGCACAGATTTATCTGTGTTCAGTAGTTGATGTACAAAAAAGATTAGTTTCATTGTGAAAGTGCAAATAATTGCTTTATTGCTACTCATTTCATCAGTTTCAGTGCAAAGTGAAATGGTTAGGACTTGATAAAAATGCTTGTTTCGTAAAGTTTGTATAGAGGTTTTGGTTCAGACCAAGGGGCAAACTCCGCCTCTGGTGACGAAAACTGCAGTTTCCCCCTCATCCGCTAGGGCAGGGGTGGGGAACCCTGGTCCATCGAGGGCCGCCATCCAGCATATTTTAGTTTCAGCCAGGTTTCAACTCTGCATCATCACACCTGATTTCAATCAGCAGGTGATTAATAAGCTTCTGCAGAGCTTGATGAGCTGCAGAACAGGTGAATCAGCCACTGAATCAAAAGTGTTGGAGCAAAGACATAAATGATGAATGATAAATGACCCGCAATAGCGCCTCTCAGAGTAAGGACTCCAAAGCACACTACAGTGTATCATTCATCCATTCACACACACATTCACACACTGATGGTGATGAGCTACGATGCAGCCACAGCTGCCCTGGGGCTCACTGACAGCGGCGAGGTTGTGGAGCACAAGCGCCAGCGGCCCCTCCGACTACCACCAGCAGGCAAGGTGGGTTAAGTGTCATGCCCAAGGACTCAACAGCAGAATTCTCTGTCTAGAGCTGGGATTGAACCTGCAACCTTCTGATTACTGGACAACTCGCTCAACCTGTTGAGCTACTGCTGCCCTAACATGCAGGATACCGGCTCTCGAGGACCAGGGTTCCCCACTCCTGCACTAGGGGCTGGATCCAAAACAGAGCAAATCCCCATTGACTCCCATGTTAAAAACACAGCAGATATAAACATGTTTACAGCCTGGTACAAAAAAATTTTATGTTCACTACGTCAAAACAACTCTGAGGGGTGAACATTTTTGTAACTCGTCCATTTAGATGTAATTGAAGGTGCAATTTGTAAGAATGACAATACTCCTGTGGTCAAATGTGGTTACTGCAGTCCATTTTGAAGCAAAAACGTTACTTTCTCACTGCCATCCCGTGAGTTTCATGTCTGTTGCCAGTGACAGAGCAACACCAGATGATTCTAAATGACAAGCAAAGATGAGTCATACACAATAAGCTGATGAGTAGATAAATACATTGTCATATCTTGTGTTTGCACTTTTGAGTGTTTTACGGTAGGGTGCACTTACTACACTTATTATGACAGTTTGTCTCCGGCATTACAGGAAGTATAGTTCGCCGTCTTGCTCTTAGCTTGCTTTTATAGTTCTGAACGACTCATTAAGGGAAGTAAAATGCCACAAAATTGACTCATCATTCACTCAACACATAGATTTGACTGTAATATTGAGTTGTTGGTCAAGTAGCTTGAGATATTTTTAGAGCATATTTGCTTCTTCACCCTTAGCAATGTTAGCTCAACGTTAGCCTCAAGCATATTTATTCTCCAAATGTTAGAGTAAAAGAAAAAGATGCTGTGGCTTTTTAGGGGCACAAGAAATAACTTCTCAGTTGTACTGTTTACTGGTTTCAGATCGTTAAACAACTCTGGAGCTTTTTTTGCCTACAGGTGTCAAATTACTGATGCCTGTGCTGCTGTGTTAGCTCACTACAGATTCGGCAACCTAACAAACTCAGAGTGTAAACAATAACTACATCCCGCTTTGGTTTTCTTCAAATGAGAGAAACTGACAACCCCCCAGCCACGTGAGAATGAATTCTGTTTCAGTATAACCTTCCTTCCAGCATCAGAGGCAGATTTAGCATTTTGGGGGCCCAAGGTGAACACAGACATGGGGCCCCTTACACAAAATTTTCGACAATCTTACCTTTAACTGGATTTGCGAAACTCTCCCCTCTTCTGACATGAGTTATTTTCCCTTTTCATTAGTCCTCCTCTTTTTTCCTGTATTTCCCTCCCTTTGAGCGCTTTCAATATTTGCTCTGCTTTCTTTCTTTGTGGTCTTATGGCACTTGGCAAACAACAATATGGTGCATTACCGCGACCAACTGGATTGGAGTGGAATGACTACCAATCACGTCCTGTTTGTGCATCGCCGTCTTAATGACCCTCTTATGACCATAATTATAACAGGGCCGCCTGGTATTTTTTTTTATCTTATGGCTGTAAAATTGTAATAAAAGTACAAAGTGTGTGTAACTCTTCTCCTTTTTTCAGAACAACCTCAGCTTTCAGTGTATGATTTGTATTTAGAATTTATTTCCATTAAAGCCTTTTAAAAACCAGCTTAAAAGTGAAAAAAGCAAAAAACGGATTTGAATTTTTTACATTTATTACTGAACAGGAACTTCAAAATTACTGGGCAAACAATTTGGAATAAACAATATAAAGTTTGAACTGCATCTATTCTTAAAAAAAGTGTGAACCTTGGTATCATTTTTAGCAGTTTTTAAGACCATTTATTTTTGTAAAGTTTCAGACGTTTTTATTTGATGTGGTAGACCTTGAAGCAGTTTCTCTCCAGCTGCAGGCAGAGCGCACCTCACACTGCCATGGGGTGCTTTTCTTGCACACTGTACACTGCTATACCAAAAACTTTTGTTTTAGCAAAAATAATTATTTATTGTAAAAAGATAAATAATGCTGGAATGAAGCTGAATCTTACAATTAGCAAATAGTTGAGGGTTGTTCAAATAAAAAAATAAAAAATAAAGACGGAAAAAACATTCATATACTGGTTCACCGGAGATCTGTCCTTCATCGTGGTCACAGTCTTCATATATAAGCCTTATGGGACACCTAATAGATCGTGTTGATTTTCTTTGAGGCATTTCCATAATTTTATGCTGGCTTTTTATGCTAATTAGCTTCCCCGTCCTGCATCCGCTTTCACCGCGGCGCTGCGCTCTGTTTCAATCAGGCTGTACAGCAGGATTTCCCCTCGAAGCAATATCTTCCATAACTCTGATTGCTTCATGCTATAGAACGTTGGCAAGCTGCTTTTATGTACTTTTAGGAACCGTTGGAATTTTTTGAATCTGATCAGCCATTCAAAAGTTATAAAACGGAGCATTTTGGATGACAAACTCGGCACGTCTCTGAATCTGTGTTGTGATTCATTGCGCTCAAGACAGGGAATCCCGGAGGCCACCGTAATGTATTGTAAATGCACGAAAAGCCCCATTTTTAATCTTTTCAACACTTTTGGAATTTTAATGATATCTTGAACAGTTCAGGAATTATGGTAATGAGAAGTGCGCATGTCCAATCCCGTCTGCAGCAACAGGTTGGTAATAAGAATATTGTGGCATTAACAGAGGGGTGCCGGAGGTCAGGGCTAGGGGGCCCCCCAACACAAGGGGGCCCCAGGCAGCCGCCGACCTATGCCTGATGGTAAAACCGCCTCTGTCCAGCATGATTGAGACATTAGACTGTTTTTTGATTCTTTCACAGTAGAATACAAATTGCACCTTTAAAGCTTTAAATTATGAATAATTTGCCTTTGATTGGCAGGTAGCATGACTCTTCAGAGCTAGCGCTAGCAGCTTGTTCTCTGAACTTAACCATCAGAGCTTCAGTTCGGCTCTTCAGAAAGCTATGGTTGATGCTATGGAGGGTTTATCAATCTTATATGTACAGTCATTGTTTGAGACTGATAATAAAAAATTCTTGACACATTTTTATCCATTATTGGATGTAATGCAAAGAAAATTTGATAAGGCAAGCAATAAAAATCAAATAGCTCTAACAATGGGGATGGGTCAAATGCGGAGAGGAGTTTCACCAAAGTGTGATGACTAATGATACTTTAATTTTCTGGGAGCTTGTCCTTGTTTTTGTGCTTTAAAACATTGTCAAATATTTTTCTTTTGAGCAAAAAGATTTATTGAAATTGTGAACACACATTGTTTCACATCATTGCATTTAAAAGCAGTATTTAGTGCATGTTTATTATAAACCTTAAGAACAAAATACTTAAAAATGTACAAAAGTGGTTGTAACCATCATCCTTTCAGGATGTGCGACCAATGAAATTCTGTTTAAAAATATTAATTAAAAGAAAAACATGCAACATTTTTTTAAATTGGACAAAATACATTTTAATAAAAATCCAAACATTTTCAAAGTTGATAAAATAGTCTCACTTCAGTTGTGAGCTGAACTGAACCCACTACTTCAGTCTCTAATAAGTGAGAAACCAGGAGGAAGGGGAAAAAGTTGTTCTCAGAAACCATATCAGTGATCCAACTTTAGTTTCAGTCGCAGCAGAAACTCTCCTAAACAAATATTACATGCAAAATACACACACATACACACACACACACACACACACACACACACACACACACACACACACACACACACACACACACACACACACACTGAACAATCACGCAAGCAAATCCATGTAAAATGAGCTCTGGCTCTTCCTGATGGTGACAGGAAATTTTAACAGCAAGTTTCAGTGAAATGTGACACGACACAGACGAGCAAACAGCAGGTGACTTTGATGACATCACAAAAGAAGCAATTACATTTATCTAAAATGACAACAACAAAAAATCTGTTGTAATATGTAAAAATTGCAGTTACAGCTAAATTCGTGTAAAGGAGAATTCCAAATAAATGAACATGTCAGTACAAAGCGAAACACAAAAATCAGCATTCGTCTTCATCTCGGAGTCTATTGAAAGGGGTATACCCTGAGGTTTATGATATATAAATGTATATAAAAAACAAACTGCTCACAAAGACATGTTTTGTCCACATCAATTCCTCAGACGCTTTGAAGCTGTTTAAACATAGTCTCTTTTGTCGTATCCTCCACCTGCGCTGGTGCTGCGTGGGGCGGAGTAGGCCAGACGCGGCGGCTTGTATTTCTGTTCTTTGGGTGGACAGCTGCTGCACAGCATCGCCCCTCCAATCAGAAACAGGATGGCTGCTGCAAAGCCGATGTAGATCGATGCCCCAATCTCCCTTCGCTGAGACTCTAACAAGATTGGGTTGTAAAAATCCCGGATGATGACATTGGTGGACCAGGAGGCAGGGACAAGGACCAAAATGCCAGCTAGGATGAAGAAGATCCCGGAGATGATCATCACTTTAGCCTTGGATGGCTCATCTTCAATGCAGTTGGTGCACTTTGCTCCGACAATGGAGATCAAGACTCCCAAAATCCCCAGTATAATACAGATGACCAGCATGGCTCTGGAGGCCTGCAGATCCTGAGATAAAGCCAGCATCGAGTCATAGATCTTGCACTGCATCTGACCTGTGCTCTGAGTGACACAATTCATCCACAAGCCTTCCCAGATGACCTGAGCAGTGACAATGTTGGCTCCAACGAAGGCTGATACCCTCCACATAGGCAGGGCACATGACACTATTGCACCAATGAATCCAAGGAATCCAAAGGCAATTCCCACAATCTCCAAACCCATCGACATGTCGGCTCGTCGTCTGGTGGGAAAGTTGTTGACAGAAGGCTTTTAAGTCACAACAAAGACTTAGTTGTTTTGTTGTTCTTGCGTCTGTTGAGGCTGAGCTTCTGTGCGAGGTTATGATGTGGCTTTAGGGTGCTGCCAAAGAAGCAGGAGATGCTTTATACACCAGGGAGGTATAAGGAGGAGTCACCTGGCGATGATGTCAACAGGTGGAAGGCTGCACACACACACACACACACACACACACACACACACACACACACACACACACACACACACACACACACACACACACACACACACACACACACACACACACACACACACACACACACGCGCGCACACACACAAAACAACACCTGTGCATGCACAGTGGGGACAAGAAAGCTGAAAAGCAGAAAGAAGAGAGGAAGTGGTGGAGGTGTGTGTGTGTGCATGTGCGTGTGTGTATAGGGGATGGGTTTTACTAAATTGGCTTCCAAGAAAAAGCAACACTCATGCAGCACACCTGTTTTCTCCAAAGAATTGTTTCAAACCTGTTAATGGTGATTAAACCGTGACAAATGGAACATTCTTATTTTCGTAGGCAGTAAAGATGGATTTAAAATGTGCTCTGAGCAGAAACTCGTAGATTTTTTTTAGGTTAAAAAGGAAGTTCATTATGTAGAAACGCTGAGTCACATGTAGAGGTTGAATACAAAGGGAAGAGTGATGTTTCTTCTTCTCTGGGTCACTTAGAAACCTTTGTTTTGAGAAAGCATAAGAATACAGACACACACACACACACACACACACACACACACACACACACACACACACACACACACACACACACACACACACACACACACACACACACACACACACGCGTAGATGTAAAGCATAGTCGTCTATATTTTTACTTCCTAATTCCAGGTTGTTTGGGCCTTTGAATAGGTCAGGGTTCTGTATTAAAGAGTCAGAACAAAAACTCTGCTGGAAACAGGAACAACTGCTCCTAGAACAAATTTGAACAAAGAAAATACAGACGAGTTTAAACCACCTTTAGCATACAATTAGTGTGATCTCCTCAGTATCGGTAAGAGTCTGACCAAACATTACACACACGTGGTTTCACAAACTGAACAGGACAATTAGGTCCACTGTGTGAGTGAGTTTCTAAAACATTTTTTAAAAAGTACTTTGTCATGAAACATTTGCTTACTGACAAAACTGAAAATCATATATTTTTTGTTTCACTTTAAACATTATTTATTTCAAATAAAACAAAATCTAACTCCTTTTGGCATTTTACATTCTTATAATGTTTTTTTTTCTATTTGTTCTGCTTAAAGCCACAACCTTAACACGTGTTCAAAGGGATAGTTCAGGGCAAACCAACCTCAGTTTGGGTAAACAGATAAGTTCTGACCTGGATTGATGAGCTAACAGCTAGTCACAGTGAAGCAGCAAAAAAAGGGGGGATTGCAGCAACTTCAATCTCAGTACATTCCTTGCAGATCATGCAACTCTGTTTAATAAATCTTTAAATTGTTAGTTTGGATCACATGATTTAATAAAGTTGTTTTTAAATTTCCACACGCATGTTAGCTGCTAGCGTTAGCACCATCTATACATGTCTCTATTGTAATTTTTAACTGACTAAATGACTAAACAACCAACCAAGCGACCAATCTACAAAGCCCCATTTCAAAATGCCTTAAATGACAGCCATATTTATTTATTTAGTATATTGGAAAAATGTCCTCACATTGGGACAGTATGGCCAAAAATATCACAGTCACACACACACACACACACCAATAAACCGGATAGACATCTCTAATATTTATGCAACAACGTTAGCGGAAGTCATGCGTACTGCCAAAACATCCTTAACTTGCACCACTTTAAAGCTGGGGTATGTAGTTAAATTTTTATTTAAAGTAACTTCACTAATGCTTACATTTGACTATCTGACCCTGTTCTGTGATAAAAAGCAGGTAATATTTCATAAATTATGTTTCCCCAGTCCCTCCTCCTGGCCCCTAGAGCAAAAACTATCCCTCTGATGCTGCTGATTACTTTTGTTCACATTGTTTTTGTAATTTCGTATAATGCAACCAATAAATGGCTGAAAAGAGTTCTGGAGGGCACCTTGAGCTAGTCCTGCTGATAGGTGAAATTTCAAAGTGCCGATACTGTGTGACACTGCGTACCGGCCCACTTAAACCACTGGAATCAGGAGTGCCTGAGCAGGAACATACCAAAAACATGGCCCTCCATTAACATTACAAAGCTATTTTTGTGCACTAGCGCTACATGTGGCTTTCAGCTCCTTCCAGAAGGGGAGGTGGAGCAGGAGTGGGAGCTTTAGCAGTTCAAATTTCAAAATCTCCTCCTCCTTTCCTTGATGTTGTCACGCTACGGACATCAGCTTCAAATCACATAAGCAGAAATGTATTTGTTAATTTCTAGTAATAAATCCAGACATGTTGCAAATATCATGCAAACAAGACACACCTACATGTGTTTAATCAAAAGGTTGCAGGTTTGAGCCTCACTCAGTCTGTTGCTGTTGTTGTGTCCTTGGGCAAGACACTAAACCCACCTTGCCTGCTGGTGGTGTTCAGTGGTGCCGGTGTATGGCAGACTCTCCTCTATCAGTAGTAGTAGTAGTAAGTAGCAATTTAGTAGAAAATACATGCATGATGTGTACTTGTGAGTTTTATTTTGAAAGGTACTTTACAAAAACATCTTCTTCTAGTTTTATTTAGGGTTAGTTTGTTTTATTTCTGTTCGGAGCATTCTCTTGACAATGATTCTCTGACATGGTATTGAATATTACATCAGTCCCAGAATGCAAGCAAATGTTTTTGCAATGTTGTTGAGGAGAGCAAGAACAGAGTGTGTGTTGTTCTGTTTCAGAACCAGCTGATGATTCACCAGCCCAAAGTGAAATGATTTGACTATTCAAAGCAGGAAATTGTTTGGTATCTGTGCCTCAGACAGAAACTCAGATGCTGAATAAAGAACTTTACATCTCATGTGATCGACTTGTTTATTTTCAAATGCGTATCTGACACAAATGAGGATGTTTTCTCAAACTTGAGGTACCATATATTAGTGATGCACTGATATCAAATTTTTGGGCCGATACCAATGTCTGATATTAGTATCACTGTTATGGCTGATAACCAATATGTGCTGACACCGATGAACTGAGATTAATTCTTCTAAAATAAGCAGATTTTTGTATAGAATTAAAATGATTAAAGCTGAATTTATGCTGTTATGTACACACAACACACGCTTTACCCTTCTGAGAATATTATAATCACTGTCACATGACTAAACTAATACACATCACCTCCCTCACCCCAGAAAAACAAATGGAAACAAGATGGAAAAAATATATCGGTTGTTAAATTCGGCCCAGTTTCATTTACAAGACCGATACCGATATGTTAAAAAATGACTAACACCGGCCAGTACAATGTTGATGAGAATTGTACTTTATACTTATTTTGTATTAAACTAAAGCCTATTTTTAATTGTTTGTTCTTGCTGTAAGGATCTAAAGCATACAAAATGACAAATGTTAGAGCAACAAGGGAGTTATTCATTAAATTGACGCATTTGAAAGTGGAAGTTTATCATACCAAAACGGATCAGGTTAAAGGTTTTGAAAATCTGCCTGTAGAAGCGGAACCTGACATTAAGCTTCTTTGTTTAAAGCGTATTAATAGAAAGAAGAACACTAATGTCAGCTCTAGATGTGATTTCCTTGCTCATTTCTGGTTATTCTGTTCTAAATTCCTGTTTTTTGTTTAGTGAACACAAAGTTTGATCTCTCTAAACCAAAAACAAGAAGCTAGTACGTTTCACATTTTAAATCCTCATGACTTTACTGAATCATCAACAAAAGATTTAGCATTTAAAATATTGTTACAGTGAAACTTCAGTCAAACACTGAATTTTTGAGAATAAACTTTATATACACAAAATATGCAAAATAAATGAAAAGCATGAGCGTTTCATACATTTAAAAGGAAACATATGAATACAACATAAAATATGTGTAATCACTCACTCGTGACTCTAAGTATTGATTTGATGTGACTTTCCTTTTACTTTATGCCCCATCCCACCATTTTGACCTTCCTGTGGCGCATGAGGTAAGTCCTGCTTAGCTGTGTGAAGCTGAAATCTGTGACTAAGCCCACAGCTTTGTTTCGTAAAAACATTAACAACAGTGATGTTCACTTTGTCCCAGTTCCAATGGTGTCCATCTGCTCAGAGAGTTTAATAGAAAGTACAGCCACTGAATGCAATGAGCACAAATATAAATACATAAAACAGAATTTCTTTTGCAGAAAGTTTCTCTTTGCTGAACTCTTTAAAACAACCTCAGTCTTAAACATTTAGTTTTTTTTTTGTTTTTTAACTTTAATCTTCATTTACCCTTGATGTCATCAAAGCAAATGTTAATGTGTAAACAGATTTATCAACCAACCGTGAAAACCTCCAAATCTATCAGCAAGTTAAAAACGTGCACATATTCACAATCACGGACACAAAAAAGGTTATACGAAGTTCCTGATCCCATTTTAGTCATGTCTTTCTCCCTCATACGTAGTCCTTTCTGTTGTAGGAGCTTTGAGCCATTGACCTTGGAGCTGCGGAGTACGCCATACGGCTCTGAGGGGGCATGCTGTATCGCATGGCTTTCTCTTCTTTAGGCGGGCAACTGCAGCAGAGGATGGACCCACCAACCAAAAGCAGAGCTGCAGCAGCCCATCCCAGGTACAGCGCAGCCCCGATCTCCATCTTCTGCCCAGAGGGAACGACTGGACTGTAGAACTCAATGATGATTGTGTTTGCCGACCAGGAAACAGGTACGAGCTGTGCCAGAGCTGCTGCGATGAACCCTGCTCCTGAGGCGATCATCACCCTGGCTTTAGCCCCCTCTTCCTCAATGCAGTTGGTGCACTTGGCTCCCACCATGGAAATGAGGAGGGCCACCACTCCCACTATAATGGCGACGACAGTGAGCGCCCTGGCGGCTTGCAGATCCTGAGGGAGAGCCAGCATAGAGTCATAGACTTTACACTGCATCTGGCCCGTGCTTTGAAACACGCAGCTCATCCACAGACCCTCCCAGTACACCTGAGCCGTGACGATGTTGGCACCAATGAAGGCTGTGACCCTCCACATTGGTAGGACACAGCTGACAATACTCAGCACCCACCCCAGCACTGACAGACTGATACCAGCCAGCTCAAGTCCCAGTGACCCCATCTGTTGGCTGTGATGCGTTCTTTTCACTGCAAGAACAATTTGGTTTATTGTCCTTCCAGTCTTTCTTTCTATCTTCTTTAGTTTGTCCTTCAAGGAACTCCTGGCCGACTCGTCTCTTCTCCAGGAACGTCTTCTCCACACTCTCCTACTCAGACGTTTTCTGTTGATCTGCTGATTCTAACATGTCGATAAACCCGCATATCATTTTATCACAAGGTAGCTTGGCCCTCCTACAGTAGAGATGACCTAACTTGTCAAACCAAGCCAATCAGGTGCGTTGTGAGCACTGGCCTCTTTTATTATCTGGGCGTGTTGGTGATGTCTTCAGGGCTTCTACAAATGAATGTTTTTATGGTTTAACCTTTTGCTCTTGGTAGCTCCAGGTGTGTCGGTTTCATTGCTGTCACTAGGTAATGATTGACCAGGGCAGACTTTGTTTTGTGGTTCAGTGTGACCACATGCAACCGTTTTGGATGTACAAACAAGTGAGTTAAGTGTTAATTTCTGTGTACCCAGAGTGGGAATGTGTTTGAGGAAACACATTTAATATACTGTATCCTGTATACACATATACATATATATTTTTCTCATGTTGTAAGCTATCAAAATTGATGTCTGAATGCCAAAAACAGGCCTTACAATTTTATTTCTCATGGTTGGAGCATTATAGATTCAGCTTTTATGCTACACCTGATATCAAAATTTTATTACAAATGCGTACAATTGTTTTTAATCCCATTGGACACGGGGACGGATGAAAGACAAAGAGGGGCGAGGAAAGAAAGAGGTGGAGTGAAAAAAGTTCACAAATAAACAATAAAGGATGAACATGAGTGGGCTTCTAGACATGCAGAGAGAGAGAGAGAGAGAGAGAGAGAGAGAGAGAGAGAGAGAGAGAGAGAGAGAGAGAGAGAGAGAGAGAAGAGAGAGAGAGAGAAAGAGAGAGAGAGAAAGGGGAGACACAAAAATACAACAGAACCAAGAAATCACTGTGCCAAACAACATAAGGATATATAACAGTAACAATGTCTGTTGAAAAGCACACAGCATACATTTGTTCATGGTGCATTTAGTGCCAACCACAGCCCAAGGTAATGTGTGAAAAGCGCTCAAGCCCACACTTGTGAGAACACCTTACAAGCATCTGTGTGTATACCATAGACATATGGTGCATATGGTAGGGGCCACAGACCGGTCCCCCAGGACCCCTGGAAGATATGAAGTTGATCCAAACCCCAAGTATCCAGAGGTTCCTTCCAGAGCATGAAAACCTTTAGGAGACCACCGCATGAGTAGCCACAACCAGCAGCTGTGCCAGAGGCCCAGGAGATCATAATAGTGAGCCCCTAGGCCCCGCCCACAGCCACCCACAACTGGGCAGGCCGAGCTTGGACTTTGGTGACCCGAGATCTAAGGGGTCCCAGCCCTCTGTGGAGGCACACAAACACACTCCCACCCTCATGCTCACACATAAACACAATCTAACCTAAAGACACACAAGAATACACATCATACACGTATTCACACACACACACACACCCTACACACTCTGGCCCACACTGCTGCACAGAGGACACAACCATTCCTGGACCCAGGAGATGGTCTCGTTCTTACTGGCAACCCCACTCAATGCAGGGCAAAGCAACCCACTCCCCCAGATAAAAATCTGCACAGTTGCTGTGTGTTTTGAGTTTCTATTCATCAGTTTGTTGCAATAAGTCATGTATTTTATTGCCAGGTCTAAAACCCAAAGTTACTATTTTCATAGGTGAAGTGTGCACTATATCCACTGGGTCACACAGCGAAACAGTAAACCTGTAGTTAATGACAAACCAAAAAGCACCAAGATTATACTTTATTGATGTTTAACTGTATCCTGTGTGTGCCTGTTGTACTTACTTTAATTTTAAAAAAAAGGACAAACATCTCTTGTTTTTGGAGAGTTTATAAAGTTTTCTGAGATTTAGAAACAACAGAAAATCTGTGGAAGTTGATCCAATTTTGAAGTTTTCTATGATTCACAGTTTAAATGGGAATAAAGGAATTGATGTCTTAATAATATCAAAAGGGAGTGTTAGAGTGGTATAGATGTACTGACATTGTAGATAAGGTATATTTTACAAAGGCAATCTGAAGAAGATCTCCAGTCAGCACTGATAAAAACAAACCAGTAGCCACAGACTTAGAGATCATTGCTACCTTTGCAAAAATAAAGTCAGGACGGTCGCTTGAGCTGGCTATCTTGCCCTTGGTAGGACCTTTCTGTGTCTGCAGGTTTGATAATAACTGCAGTTGTAGTTGGGAGAAGGGGTCTCGAGCAGCGACTCATGAGCATATGTGCTGAAGATATAAATATATTGATGAGTATGTTTCTGTGTTCGCAATAACTAATGAAGAAATGCAAGTTTTTGCTCATATCCAGATGTGCCTTGTTTCCTCCTTGATTTCCACAAAGATGATGTCACTCCCAGGTAAAGTGTGTACGTAGAACCTCAATGTGCATTCCTGCACTAGCACACCTGTCCTTTGACCTGTTCTAGTGAAGGAAATGTGTCTTCAACTAGTGTGTCCTTTCCTGGGGAATCATTCATAAATCTTTGTGCAAAATTCTTACTAAAAGTCTACTCACGTTTAGCAAAAAAATTTTCCTTACACTAAGAAATTGTCAGACCTATAAAACCCTGCATACGCACAACCACACAGAATTCCCCTTTATAAATCACGCTCTTCCTAGAAGTGTGTTCAGGTGATTTTGGATCATATCCTGCCTCCTACACACCTGCATCCTACCATAAATGGTCACTGAGCATATACATAAGCTGGCTGATTTGTGGCATTTCATTGGGTAACTCTGGTAACTGAGAGGTCTAGAAAATGCAGTTTCACTGAGGCTGAAATTGAGGTGCTTGTTGGTGAGCTAAAAGTATGGAGAAAATGTTTCATTGCCTTTGTGTGGTACAGAGGTGCTGCAGCGGTGAATGCTGTAACTGCGGCAGGGAGGTCTCTGGGGACACAGACAACAGGTGATCAGATCTGAAAGTGGAGGCAAAGAGGAAGAAGACAATAGTCATTTGAATCCTCAGCAGGGGGCAGTATGGTGCTCAGAGATGACCGAGAGAATCCTTATCCTTATGTTGTTTAACCCAAAGGGGTTTGGGGCAGGAACTGTCATTCATTGTTTATCGTATCAAGCTACCTGTCAGCTAATTCCCACTAGAATGAGCCAGTTGCAAGACACCTGATAGGTGTCAAAAACCGCTGGTGCGCTATTACACAGTTCTGCAGGTCGGCTGATCTAACACGGGCCCAGTTCAGCACATAGATTCAATCAAGGTAATGTTAATCAGCTTATCAGCCAGTAATCATCATCTCTCCCCTTTCAGATCCTGCCTTTGGCATTATCTTCCAGAAGAGCCAGCGCTTCTGTTGTGAAGTATTATGCACGAATGCAACTGAGGGCCCTGTTCTTTTAAAGGTAGGACCTTCCTGTGTCTGCAGACTTCATGCCTTTTATTTGGTAACAATAAGAGTAGAAGGTGCTCTTTGACTTGTTTTTACTAAATAAAGGCAGAACGTGGAGTAATGGATTCCACTCTTCCACTCTTGCAATAGTTTCTAACTTCTGGGTCTAAAAGTCAGCTCAGCTTACCAAGCTGCAGTGATGTCATATATCTATGAGCCAACTAAAATACAGAAAAGTACTACATAGATACCAGGTATAATTCTTTAACGCCTACTAATGTTGCATTTTTCTAAATTGATATGTGGGTGGAAAAGGACTCCGAGGCAGGCTTGACAAGCCCTTTAAGTTTACCTCTATAGAAAACTTAAAAAAGAAATTTAAATAGACAATTAACCCAGAGGCAGGTGTTGCAGATTTGCAACAGTTAAAACCTACCTGGTTACTCCACATACATATTTCATGAGCATTTTTTAACTCAGAAGTACCCCTGAAGGACTTAGTTGTTCGTCCTTTTATCAAAACTTATTTTGAGCCTGAGAGGGTTAAGGCAGGATACAGTCTGGATGTCACTAAAATTCAACTGAACTTGTCTGATTTAAAGCACAAATCCACAGTTTTTTTTGTCCATCACCATCTAATCACTACAATATTTTTGTTTAACCCTCCCACTGTCCTAATGGGTGTGACCCCACGAGGAAAGTGTACCATTGAGCAGGGTTGATGATTTATCCCCTGGGTCCATGTGGCAGGGGTGAGGAGTGAGCACCACGTCGCCCCTGCCACATGGACCTCAAGGGATAAACCATCAATCCTGCTCAATGGTCAACTTTCCTCGCAGGGTCACTTATAAAGACAGTGGGAGGGTTATAGATTTCTTATATATATATGTGTGTGTGTGTGTGTGTGTGTGTGTGTGTGTGTGTGTGTGTGTGTGTGTGTGTGTGTGTGTGTGTGTGTGTGTGTGTTTTAAAGACTCACTTGTCCACAAGAAGAGTTGCCAACTCTGCAGGCGTTTAGGTACATGCTCAAATGCTCGCAAATGCCCTGTGATTGACATCTGTGTGTAAGAGGATGTCTGACGCTATTGGCTAATGCTGAGCGGTGCTTTATTCAAATTGCATGAAGCTCTACGGTATTTGGGACAGGTTTAGCAAAAACATGGTGTAATGTCTACATTGTATCACAGAGCAGGATAAGACAATCACACTTACAGATTTCTAAAAAAAAATCATACATAATGCCTGATGGGGGGAAACCTCAGATTGCAGCTTTAAGAACTCTTAGCAAAATGAAAACAAAAATGTACAATCTACAATCATTTTAATGACCCAAAATACAGTTTTTTTTATATTAAATATTAGATCTCTTAAATCTGAATAATGGCTGACGTGATTGTCGATTATCTTTTTAGGTCAAAAATCTGCTGCAGAAAGATAAATTCATTAGTATTAATAAGTCAGCCATTAATATTTCCATATTTCCTTGAAGCAGGTTAAGGAGGTGTGATAGGAATCCTTCAATAAAGTTTTCTTATCAGTCAAAGTGCCGATATTATTTATGATCCTCTGTGTGGCTGCATCAGTTAAAGTGTTGAACTGAATCTGACTCAAGTCCCATTTGTTGGGATAATATAAGGCAGCTATGTGTAAGCCATATTATAATGAAACATGTTAGAAGATGATATTATGAAGAAATGTTCCATTATGCTGACCAGTAATCAATTAAGGGTGCAAACAACAAAAAACTGTTGCACATTTTGGTAAGAATATTTGTTTCCTTCTAACATAGAAACATTTACCACACTTTATCTTGCTGGATTAATTTATTTATTGTATATATTATATATATTTATACTGATCCTTACCAATACAACATACACAGAATGAAACCATGAGCTTTCCCGTTACATTGCTTTGACATTTTTCTTAATAACAGTCATTTTATGAAGCTTTCTCAAGTGGTGTAGACTAGTAGCACCTTTAAGTTATCGTCCAATCTATTCCATAGCTTCACACCTATAAAGAGAAATACTCTGTAACTCGACGTTAAATGTTTCCCTCATCATATCCACCCTCTCTATTACCATAAAGTTGTTG